AGACTGTCCGACAACACTTACTTAATACTATAATGCTGATACTTTGATAATTCGATAATTGGCCACAATGTACCAGTCGAATCAAAAAAACTCAATTTCGGCGCCGTTTTTGAAACAAAATTGAAACACGTGAAGGTAAGGCCCTGAAAAATGGTATAATCAGATTTTGAATAACACCTCTAGTTTCTGAGGCACGCTGAAAAAAATTATTTAATATGAAAGGAATTTTAATTTTGAAATTACTTTTCAACAAAAATAACGGCGCATCTAAAATTTGAATTCAATTTTTTTCAGGATAGGGTCAGGTCGGCATCTTAAATACTAATATAATAATAATATATCATAATAAATAATAACATTATACTAACATATTTTTTATTTAATTCGTATCCGTTTCAGTTGCTTTCTATAATGGTTAAAATTAAGTTTTATTTTGGTTTCGTTTTATTTTATAATAGTTTGGATTGTTGGTAATACAACTCTGTTAAGGTTTTTTGAAACTTATTTCTGCAGTCTTTATAATAAAAGAATTGTTTGGATTTTTTTAACTTACGGCAGTAAGTTTGAACTCTTAAATTTAGATTTATAGTTATGAAAGAGTAGAACATAAAATAGTCAAAAACATAACAGGGCCGTATTACCAACAATGTAAAAGATGAACCATCATGGGAAGCATCTAAAACGGATATAACATCTGCATTTCGGACGCTGAACTTGAAATTCAAAATTAAACAATCGCAATGTAAAAGTTGTAAAAATTATATGACAAATTTTTCAATTTTCCCTTGTAGTTCAGAAACTACATCCAAAATGATATCCAAAAATCTGACTGCGCCGCTTCAAACAATATTATTTTCACGTAAATTTTAGACTTTTTTAAAGATAAAAAAAGCAAAATTATCTTTGAAAATTAAATTGAATTGAAAATAAGCAAGAATCTTCAGAGTGATACAGAAGCTCTTCTTAATGCCTGAACGTATTTAGATTTTAAAATATATCTATGAGCCAGTCGGTATATCAATTGAATATTACTTGAAGTATGTATGGCAAACCTGAAACAGTAAGCTAGCAATACTAACTTTTTTATTTTTTGACATTTCGAAGATGCATTTGACCTTGGTTTGGTGATTTTGCAATTTACGCATTGATTTGTGTTTTTGTGTTGCAAACATCATTAACTGCCATGGACTGCTTTCATACTTTTAATTATTCTTCTTCTTTAAGTGCCGTCTTCGTTGCGAAGGTTGGCAATCATCAGTGCTATTCGTATTCGTGACACAGCCGACCGAAATAGTTGGTTTGTGGTGCACCCGAACCAGTCACGTAAGTTTCTCATCCATGAGTGACGCCTTCTTCCTACACTTCTCTTTCCTTGAATTTTTCCTTGTGATATCAGTTGGAGTAGTTGGTACTTTTCTCCTCTCATGACTTGTCCAAGGTACTGAAGTTTACGCTTTTTTACCGTAATGATAATTTCTTTTTCCTTTTTTATTCTTTTCAGGATTTCCATGTTGGTCACTTTATCGGTCCATTTTACCTTAAGTATTCTACGGTACAACCACATTTCGAACGCCTCCAGTTTCCTTATGTCCAGTTTCTTCAGAGTCCAAGCCTCTACACCATAGTACAGTACCGACAAAACATAGCATCGCACCATTTTCATTTTCACAAATGTTGTTCTCGCCTGTCCTATTCTAGTTTTGATTTCTTCAGAGCAGTCGTTATTTTTATTTACAATTGTACCTAAGTATTTATAACTGTCAACTTTTTCTATGGAGTGGTTATTTATATGAATTTGTGAATTGTTTTGTGCTGTTTTTGATATTATCATAAATTTTGTCTTTTTTACGTTTAGTGACAGTCCGAACTCTTCACTCGATGTATTAACTTTGTCTACTGCAATCTGTAATTCGTTTAGGTTGGTAGCTATCAGGATCGTATCATCCGCATATCTTATATTATTGATAGACACTCCGTTAATTTTTAGTCCTTTCGTTTCATCGTCCAATGCTCGTTTCATTATTTCCTCTGAGTAAAGGTTAAATAACATCGGTGATAGCACGCACCCCTGCCTAACGCCTTGACGGATTTCTATTTCTTCGGTGTTATTCCCTTCTATTTTTACCACTGCTTTTTGATTAAAATAAAGATTCGTAATAATTTTTATATCTCTGGTGTCTAAGTTCCTCTCTTTCAGAAGCTGGATAAGTTGTTCGTGTCGGACCCTATACATCGTTGGACGAGAACGTTCAACGTGCTTCTCTTGTGCCTAAGTCACCTCGGAAACCGAATTGAGTCTCGCTGATATCTTGTTCTAATGTTTTGTATATCCTGTGATGTATCACTTTCAGAAATATTTTTAGCGTATGACTCATTAGACTGATTGTTCGAAAGTCTGTGCATTGCCTTGCATTATGTTTTTTTGGGATAGTGACGAACGCTGATAGCAACCATACTTTTAATTAAGACGTCAAAAATAAGACGACCACGATAATCACCAACGTGTTATTAAATTAGTAACAGAAGTTGTACGAGTAAGGTGATAATTTAATCCGTTCGCATATGGCAAATGGCTGGAAGATACTGTAGGCCAGGGCATAACGCAATATAGGCAACGCATGTTGTTTTTTTCTTCCTCGCTTGCAGTACCGAGATGCAAAATTATTGTCTAGGCGTCCATGATCTGCACGTACGGTCATTAGGTGTTGTGAAAGCCCGTAATTTCCTCTTTACAAAAAAATCTAACTAGAGAGTTTGCAAACAAGAAAGAATACCCTATTTGCGGCATGTGGGTTTTAAAGGCTTGTTAACGGCTATGTCAGAGTATTGTGCGCGCGCTGATATCATTTTCTTGCCGGAACGGTTTCTATATAGCAGCTATATCTATATAGACGCTTTACCAATGCCGATAATGACAGCCACTTTTGAAACAAACATTGGTCACAAGTGATATTCAATAGCCGCATGCACGAACTAACCAACCAATCAGAATCAGAATCATGGCCGCTGACAATTTTTGATTTTGCTGTGGCATTCTTTTAGTATGCCACAGCAAATTTGCCAGAAACAAGAGTCAAGTTTGTATAGGTCGCTGTTAAAAAGAGATCGTAAGATCATTTCCTTCTGTACGAAAATCCCATTGCAGAATGAGGCGAATCAATTTTACGACTCCTTGAATGAAAAATCTATTTTTCCTAATTCCATATAGGTTCGATTTTGTAGTTTGTTCATTATTATTTATTCACCTTAAAATATAAAAACGAAGTTGACTAAAATAGGTTAATATACGATATAATCATTTAGAAGTTGTCGTTGACAGAAAAAACTTATTTTGTCCGAATTTGTGAGACATAAAATTTTGACGTATTTCAATTTCGATCATCTCACGCATTACTTCGGGCTGTTTCGGAAAAATATGCCCAAAAATTAATGGTAGTAGAAAAAGTATAGAATGCGATACGTCAATCGTTTATTGAACACCTGCTCTCTTACTATTTAAAATTTTCGACCACCCAGATTAAGCACGTATAGACTCGAAATTTCATGGAGAAACTATTCGGGGTCTAATCGTACGTACCGAATTGTTTTCTGAAAACCTTCGATTTACATTTACACCTCGGGTGAACGTCGAAAGAAAAATCGACCCACTTAACGAAACGCAAGCCGGAATCGAATTATTTCGATTCCGATTATAATGTTAATTGCGGAACACCTGCTTTTTCCTCCTTTTAGTAACGACAGAGGCTGCCGACTATAATTAGGTTCTATTCGAGGATGTTTCAGGCACTGCGTTTGGTGTTTTCCTACTCAAGAGAAGACGTTAATTTATGCTTACCCGTTTACGGTTGACATTTTACTTATTAAATTATGGCTATTAATTGGGTCACCATTGTTAATTATAGGTTAACCCTATTTTTCTATATTCTCAACTAGTAATGAAATAATGAAGTTTAACTCCTACCGACATTTTAGTAAAATCCTCGGTACGGTGTCTAATTATGCAGTCAACTAAATCTGCAAAAACCTTGTGACATTATAGAATCCTTAGCAGGTGAATTAAAAGTACAGGATTTATTTTGCAGTGCAGTTGCCATAAAATTTAACGTTATCTTTGTTATTTCACACCAGACCTGTAAAATAGGTTTACGCGACCGATAGGTAGGTAGGTATCTTTAGGAAGGCTAGGAAGCCGGTGTTCCTAGAAATACGCCCGAAGCTTCTTCATAAAAGGGATAACACGTGCAGCAACTTTAGATGCGATGTTGCCACATTGCATCGTCAGAATTTTTAATTTGCAATTTCCACATTCCGCAATCAGCGTTGAAGACCTTAAAATATCAACAAAAGGATTTACTACGACCATTTGCCACTTGTACCATAGGACAGATTCAGCTATGAGACTTAGTAATCGGAATTTACAAATATTTTGGCAACGTGGCAAGCGCGAACTTTTAAAAATGCGAACACAATGGCAGTACAAACCACCGTTCGAGTGTACCCGGCAAATGGCTTGTGTAATTTAACATTGCGGTTCTCCAACACGTTAAAAGCGATGATTAAGCTTTCGGAAATAATTATCTTTATTATAACTCTGCAAGTCGTTTTAAAATGTTTGTGTCATCTTTATTATCGATCGCTTTAGCCATAAACTCTAAATTTATCTTAAAGGTGAACGTGCCAAACGAAATTATTTCTATTTTGACGTCCCGCTAGGTTCGAAAAAAAGTAAAAAGACAAACATTATATCTAGTAAGAATCCAATTAAGCACTGCCTGCATCTGCAGCACAACAATACCTAATTGTTGCTACATAACAACCCACGAATACAATATAAATGGAATTAAATCAACTCCCACGCGCACCTTAATTATTATTCCTTTTAAAATTAATCGCCTGTCGCACGAATCGAGGATTGATATCGTTTATTGCACCATTTTGAAGGTTTTTTTATCGCGTATTTTTGAATTCGTGTTCGGCCATACCAAAATTTGGACACTTACTTTCGGAGACGTTCAAATTCCGGAAACTTTCTCCGCAACACTGATCCAAAAGCAAGAACAACCAAATCACGACAATACTTCGCCACATGTTCAAGTCATAACTCAAAAATTAATCGAACGGCATTATCGATCGTACCGGGGCGTAAATTAAGACTTTTTGCAATCGCGGAAATATAAAACGACGACGTAAACAATAAAACCGCAATAGACGCAACACTCCGTCTGGCAAGCGAGTTTCCAAACTAAATTGAAAAAAGAGCGCGCCGCGCGCGAAGCCATAGTTGCGCTGTTGCCAGTTAGAGCTGAAAGTAGTTAATGTCTTCAGGTAAACATAATTGCCTGGACACTCCAAGCGGAAAATGAATGAATGCGGGCAAGTTTACATTTGCAAAACTAAAAAAATTAGCAAATACATCGTTTTATGAAACAATTATTACCATTTAGAAATCTTCTGGATGCCTCCTGCGTCCGTTGAGCTTAACGACACAGGAAGAATCTAGAAGATTTGTAAATAGTATTATGATAGCAGCTTGTGAAAGTTTTTTGAAAAAATTAAAGAGAAACAATCCTAAGAAGACATCACAGAAAAACAGTGGAACTGTGCTGCGAACACGGCCATATGGTTGAGAACTAAAACCTGTAGAACTTATATGGGTGCACATGTGATCCGAGTGCTGACGTTTTCAAGTGCGTATGCCTGATGAGTGCACAATTGGATATTTTAGAGTAAGTAGTAGAAATCAGTATATTATGCGACAAGTTTTCTATTTCTATTTCTTAATAAAACGAGTGTCTGGAGAATGTGTTCCATATTATCATTTTTTTCGACCATTAGTTTCTGGGTACATTGTTTCAAAGCAGCACCTATAACCAGAACATCACAAATGCAAACTTAAATATCAAATCGCTGTCAATCTGTGACTAAAGTACCGCAAGTGACCGAAGTGGCTCGCGTCAGTGTTTAATGAAGCTGACGTTTTCAAGTGACATTTTGGGTACCCCTGATCGGTGCACATTATTGGGTATTTTAGAGTAGGTTGTAGAAAAAATAAAACCTCTATGCATTTAAAACCACAAATAAACTATTAATAATATGGAACAATAAATAACTCACGCACCTCCGTTTTTGGTTTCCTTGCGGTGTCCAAGGAAATGCTGTTATAAATATTAATGTTTCCTTTTACAAGTGACGAAACATACAAAGATAAAGTAAAATGTTACTTTCAGTTGCTGATTGGCACTAAATATCAACAACAAAGGATTTAAAGAGAAATTTTAACACAAATTCTAAGACCGATGTTTATATAAACTTTTATATTTGATCGCAAACTCAGTAATACCCTGTATACATAAAAGGAGTCTTTCTAGTCTAGTCTTTAGATATAAAAAGTTCTGTATTTTATATAGTCTATAAAAGCACAAATTGCACGATTTCGAAAAATCGATTCGATTTATTATTTTAATGCTATGGGGACAAGAAAGAGGTATTCAATGTTAATGGATTAGTGAAATTGCACGTGCAAAATTAAAAATTAAAATGTTATGTCATATGTGGTTTCGAGTTATTTCTAACGTAGTCAACTGTAATTATATACGTGGTTCTGGTCGCTGTAATGTTTGGGAACCACAATAGATGTGGAAAAATCGAAAAAAAAAATGAAATGAAATTGCTATGTGTTGAAGTTATGTATCTAGCGGGCGACACGAGAAAGACGGAACACTGTACAACTCCTTAATCAACGCCATTTGCGACAATATTAATAAGCTTACACGAGTTTCAACGAATCTAGTGATTGTGTCCAGTCATAAAAGCGGAAAACGCGCGGGACGTACGGTTCAATTCAAATTAAAGTTTGAAAGGTAAAATGTGAAAAAAAAATTATGTCGAAACAGTTTTAAAACATTTTTTTATTAAAATATAAATAAATTGCTGTTATCCGTTACAAGCTACTGTGGTATTTTCTGTGTGTCGCAGGACTTTAAACCGCCATGACAGTACTTTAGTACTCGTACACAAATAATAGATGGCACTCGTAAAAGTATACGCGACCTTCCCGCCTATCTTATACTCTTTGATTTTACCTAGGTTAACGTCCAAATCGTTTACAAAAACTGTATGGCGCTCCATCTTTATATCGGAAACTGCAAAAAAAGTTTATGACAGAACTTTATTTAAGTAATCGTAAGAATTTATTTCCATTTCACAATTGTAGAATAATTTAAAATAGTTCGCCAACAATACCAACAAGTAAACGGGCAAATGCGATTTCAAAATATAAAATTCCAAATTTGATGGGTCCAAATGTTTATGGATCGTTATATGACCTCTCCCAAAAATGAAAGAATTGTTGACTCTTAAGTGTGCATCATATGGAAAGTTTTATAAATTAATTTTTAAAAAATTAATATTTTATTTGTTGTCACCTACCTCGCTGAATTATAATAAAATCAACTAAACTTTCATCGGTTTTAAAATTTTATAACCACATCAATTTTAAGGTTTTTGATAGGTCCATTTGAAGATTTTTGAATTGGAGCGTTAAGATAATTTTAACTAAAAACACTTTATTAGAGTATTCAGTCTGATCTGTCCAAGTGGTTTGATTCCTATTCCTTTAGATTAGGGACACGAAAAAAAAAGTTAAGTTACAAAAACGTAACCCATTTGAGAACTAGCACATTTGTAGAAAACAGCAAAAGAAACTACCTTTTCAATAAATTTTTGATATTTAAAAAAAAGAAACTTCCTTTTTGAATATTTTTCGCAAAAAAATTCCAAGTTGACAGGAAAATGCAATGTTTAAAAACTTTCACAAATTTATATATTTATTATTTTTTGCAAAAACTCTAAATAAAAATGTTCTCATTATTTCTGATTCAGGTATGGCATCTGACATGTCCCGGGTTAAATTACACAATAAAAAATACCGATAGGTACTTACTTAATCGATTTTTGGTTTATTAAATATTCTTGCCCAAAACATAATTTTGTTATTTACATAATATACACATAATTTTTAAGTCATTCTATATTAACCGATGGAACAGTGATACAGTATACAGTTTAAAAATCGGGAGTATTTTCTTTTTATACAAAAAATGGGGATAATGTGAAATAAGCGTAATATTTTTTTTACAAATTTCCAATCGCTATCAAGAAAAAAAGTCTATGAACAGCCTATCCTAAAAGGTCTTTAAACATTAAAAATTATCATACATGTATGATCTAAAATAGTTCTACACTGTTACTGACATGTACTTGTTTCATTTATTTTTACATTAATTACAAGAAAATGTATATGAAAACAAAATGCTATTTTGAAACACTAAAAAGGTTCAGATGTCTCAAAATTACCAGTTTTAGTCTCCAAAATGACAGTCTTTTGGACTCAAACACCATCAGGTGACTCATATTGATACTGAGAAAATACTAAACACTTAAGTGACAAACGCCAAGTTGGTAGATATCCTGATTATTGTTTAAAATTATTCGTAGTCCAGAAATATATCTCTCAAAGCTGCGTGTTATACGAAAAAAAACCTAAATATTGCATTAATAATAATGTCGCATTACAATCACTTTTATTGAGCATTTTTTAGTCAAATGTACAATAAAAAAAAAGTACTGTTAAAAAAAAAAGGTTTCAAATCTAGATTTTTCCATTGTTGTATCCAATAACCAAAACGTAATGGTTACTGTTTGACAGCCGACAAGTCTTCGAGTTACTTAGCATTAAACAAAAATGTTTTAAAAAATTGGTCACATAAAAAACTGACCTAGAATCAATCGCATTTAAATTGCGATAAATAGTTTGTATAAAATAATCTACAGTTATTTTTTGTCCTATATACAAATTACATCCAATAAATATCGTTTAATCAATAAAAATAAATGTACAAAAACAATATAGAATGGTACTCGCGGATTTTTTTACTGTTTCAAAATAGAGTCTCGATAAAAAAAAACTTTCAAGTCACAAAACGTAACCCCCCTAAAATTACGAAATCATCACAATAAAAACAATATTTATATGGCCAACTGAAATACGTTGTCTGCAGAGCGGTTGATGACCACAAATTACCATTATTGTTGTACATAATATCTGCTAGGAGAAAACACTATGAGCAGCAGTCGAGACAATGAATTATGGATGACAAAACCACAGCTTTTATGGTTACTAGACAAAATAGCATATAGAAGCCTGGAATACGAAAAAAATGTGTGTTAGTGTATTTTAGAAAGTTGCATTATCTTACCACATACTTAGATATAATCTAGAAATGAAAGTATTCTACCGTGGTCAAAGCCATACATTAGTGCAGCTTTTAATCAATGAGCGTAATTTCAAAAATTTGAGTTGGCAACATGATTGAATGTATCTGTGTTTTCAGGATAGGTAAGGCCTCTATATTCAATTTATCTTGTAGTTTTATGGGTTCTAGATAAACATGTCTTTTCTACAAGCCCAATTTCGAAAGAAAAAAAACTGTTTTTTGTCATTAAGAATATGGCAATTTGTTTCAATTTCAGTTTTTAGGATAGAGTGGATGTATCGCCAGCGACATAAACATGGTTTGAAAAGTGAGGCCTGGCAGATACAGCAAATCGTATTATTATTGATGGACTTACAAAATTCAAAGTTCACCACATGCACGGGGATCAACGAGGGTTTCGGCACCAATCAAAAATCTAAAAAAAAATTTGGTCCGGAACCATTCTATAATTCCAAACAATTGGCGAACAAGCCAGAGGTGCAAAGTATTATGGTGAAAAAATTTGCTGGAACCTATTAAGTAGCTTCTCAAATATACTCGAATCTATCAGACTAATTATGTTTTTCCATTATCATATTTTGCCTCCGAATGGTTTAAAAACTTGTTTTAAATTATTAAATACAAATATCTAAATCTGGTTACAAAGGAACAAAAATGATAAATTTGGTTATTGTAAGTCGTTTTCTCTACTTTGGTCAATTCAGCCAACAATACATGAGCAACCGAACATCATCAAATCATGTATTGATGTTGATGTTGGCTTCTCAGAAACTAAATTCTAAGAACATAAAAAATAATACAAATTTCAATGTTTCAAAATTGTTATAAAGGTCCCTCCATTAGCAAAATGAATGGAAATTTGGCAAACAGCAAAAAGAGATTATTAACAACTCCTAAAATTGCCAACTATCTTCCAATGTAACCGTCATCGTAACTTTAACCTTGCCAATTTACCTATGATTTAGTTGAGATTATCAATAACACCCAAGGGATTAAAAATTAGTAGATCAAATCAGTCCCGGCCTCTTTAAAATATCTAACATGTAAATATGTACTCTTTGGGCAAATAATTTTGATTTGAACAAATGCTATGGCAATATATCTGCTATTGAAAAAGATTTGTTTTTGAATGTTATTTAATTTTTTGTTCAAAGAAAGTGTAATATAGTTAGGACCATTATAATAATAATAATGCAGCGCCTCTAGCGGCAACTTTAAAAAGCTCAATTATAAGATCAATTCCGATTCACTCCTTTCAGTCCCCCAAATTGCAGTTGTTAATAAGAATTGAGGAAAACAAAACGTCCAGCACGTGCGTGCCAAATATCAGAGACAGCGGGATTACGATTCTGGGAACCATAAAGGGCCGTTACCGGCCAGAATCGATCAAATGCTATGATAATCATTCATAATTTTATTTAAAACGTATAAGAACAACGCTGAGGATGAACAAAGAGGCCAAAAGGGCCGCTCAAGTTTCGCGCAAAATCATTTCGTTCCCGTCCAACCTGTAAAAACTTTAAGGGCCATTGGTAATAAAAAAAAACCGCCCTGCAGACCGGCTTTCAACAACCAGTGGTCGAAATATCTCGCCCTACGTCTCTATGGGATCACACTCAGTCGCTTCGACGTCACGGGAACGTGTGCTCGGGACAATAGGCCTTGAAAGCGGCGTCGTCGAACCGCCAGCGAGAGGCCCGCGCGCAGCACAAATGCGCCATCTTCAAACAGCCCCTCTTGATACAGCAAATGTTGGAACCTTTCAGGTTGCACACCAAACACGGCACGTTACAACACGACCAGACGGCCTCTTCGAGACCCACGAGCTTCGGACCGACCAGATATATGCCCGGGGACCACACGAGGCAGTCCTCGTGCGCCCACACCTCGTACGTGTTATTACCCGTATCGGTGATGCCGAGGTAGACGTCGGTCGGATCGCCCGATTCCGAGTGCTTTCGTTTCGACTTCTTGGATTTGTTCGGTACGACCGCTTTGGCGTCGAGCACTCTGCCGATTTTCTTGCTTTTGAATTGCCTGTTGTGCGAAAAACAAAGTCAAAAACGGCCGCGGAAGGCTCGACGACCACCAACCTGTCGTAGGGGTCGTCCAGTCGTCTCTCAAACTCGGGACACTGGGTGGTAATGATGTAGGGGCCGAATAAGTCGCCCGGAGGGATCGATTCCCCGATCAGACTTGGTCCTGTGAGTTCGCTCGCGTGGGGGCCCCTTTTGCAGAACGCGCATATCCACGTCGCGTCTTTGGTCTGGGCGTCGTATTTGTTGCTCAATGTGCTGCAGTGCAGACCTTTTGATCTGACCTTGTGCCTGGAACATTAAAACGTGTGTTTTGTGATTTGCCACAGAAATGGCTCATTGATATTGACAATTTTATTGTTTAAATCGACCACAATTGCAGGGTGGAAATGCCAAAGGGAAGTGTGCCAAATTTTTTGAGATAATCAAGAGAAACTGGCGGAAGTACGACAATTCAAACGCAAAATGTAAAAAATGGCACATACCCTCTATAATATTTCCACACTTCAATTGTTCTTGTGTTCCTTATTTTCTTTTAAGTGAAATCTTACTAACTAATCATATTGTAAACCTATAGGCACCCCGAAACCAATGCAAATTATTCGCAGCGGCAGCGAATTTTTCGCGGCGTAATTTTATGGCGGCTTATGGAAACACTCAGACATGTGCGTCAGTTTGCCGTTGCAACTGCGACTGTGCAGCACTTTTTTTCGTCGCGAATTTAGTTTCGCTGTTAACAGCGTTTTTATCGCGCGATGACGATGACAAAAGTTTTAATGGAAATTGTTAAAAAATACCCAATGTTGTACGATTTAAAACATGATTGACTTGATGTTTGTTTTTACAATTAAAATTGTAGCTTCCACCCTTGTTTCCATTAGTCTATAAAATATTCGAAATTTTTGAGCTAATATGCAAAAGGCATTTTCTTCAAACCGCTTTCCCAAAAATTGCACTGTCGCTGTTTTTACCAAATCCACCGATATCTACACATAAAAATGTACAATCAGGTCTCATTATATCCAACAATACTATTGAAAATTAGTGTAAATCGCAACAATAATTAGATCCAGTTTCATCCGGACATTTTACGATAATATGTTTTTATGTATGGTTATTTGTGTTTGAGTTTATTAAATTTGTTTCGAGTTTTTTTTAAAGGTTTTAATTTATCTATAAAATATAAATACAACTGGAATGGTATTGCTTTTTTTCTTATCATGTTTGTGACGAAAAATAGGGTGCCCAAAAAAACACGAAATGCAATTAATTGTTCGAAACTATTCCAAATAATAATTATGTCCACCAAACAAAAATTGGCAATCGGTTTACAACTAATCACAAGCTGTTTGTTCTAATGGAGATATTATCAATTGATTTGAAATTCCTGTTTAAGAACAAATATTTTAATACCAAATATTTTAATACGTATTTCTTATATTTTTTTTAAATATATTCCTTAATTTAAATTTAACTTTTATTTATTAGCGCACTTTTTAACACTTTTCCAAATAAGTTTTACTAAAAAATAAAATAAAGTTTTCATATTAAGCTAGAAAATTTGTCCCTAAAAAAATTTAAAATTCTCACAAGAAAATTTTTAACAAAAATTTATGGGTCTATAAAAACTTAGCACATTGTAAAAGTGAAAAGTGCTTTACTACGGTTTTACTACAAAATGCAGTACCTGATAAAATGCTAGTTTTGATACAATTATCTATGTCGGCAAATATTTTTCTCGCACCTTACCTGGTTACCAGAGCAATCTTTCATATTTGGGCAATACTCCTCACCCCACTCGTCCCTTGCCTAAATTCCTATATTTGCAATGCAACATCAATTTTAACAATGACGACATCTTTTAGTCTGTGGTTTAATCCGCTTTAACGTGTTCTCTATCACTCATGTAATATTGTGAAAAAAATTAAAAGACGTACACATTTAATGACCCTTCTCTATTTTCCTATAAGGCCAAGGCACGGATATGGCACATAATAATTTTATCAAAATTTATTAGATGAATTTTGAACAAAAAATTACTAGTGAAAATTTACATTTATGAATATACATATTACCACGGCTTTTTTGTGGTGGACCTTTGTTACAGTTATATTAAAAAATAAATAATTTTAAAAAATTAAAGAATTTGAAAAAAAAAGAAAAAGAAAAAAGAAAGTAATTTTGGTAACCTTTATAAAACTCAGAGGAGGTTTTTAATAGATCAAAATTATCCAAATAAAGAATCTAATATTCAAAACTGCTTTAAAATTTATGTATATCGACAAAGATATCACGTTTCAAACATTTTTTTTTAATAAAATTGAAACAGAGACTAGCCGTAAGACACTGCCGTTCGTGATCTGGACAGTGCAAGTGCCCAGATTAACTTGTTTAGATGCCTCCTGTTGAAGTTTTCTTTTGGCCAAAGTTTATTTGGGACATTGTACTTCTATTTTAATTGAAATTTCATAACAATGTAATGTAAAGAATGCAGTCTAATCAAGAATAAAATGGAAGTTTTTGTAGCTCGTGTAAAGAAAATGACATGATTTTCTTTCTTTTTCTTTTGTTATTTGGATTGATTAAATTAATGGACGCAAATGGTTGGTAATGGATTAGACTATTTTTTGCGGTTTTAATTGATGAAATTAACGATATTTGCTTAATTAAATTGCTTAGTTATCTAAAAAGCGACAATAATTTTACACTAACTAGTGTCTTCAATAAGCCATCTGATTTTTGATAGTATAAGCTGAAACAGTGACATTTTATTCCCTTCAAAACTTCTAAATTTGTTTGCTCTACACCTCGCCAATTTATATTGTTCTGGACAGATCAGGGCATTGTGTCCATTCCACTTTTTGGGCTTAGACCATTTTAACAAGTCTATCTATCACACTTTGTAATTTGTCAATGTCTGTTTGGTCATTGAGAAATTAACTTTTGCTCAAAGAAAATAATGAGTTTCGTCACCCACGATTAAAAGTTAAGCTTGTCCAAGGTGTACCTGGTTTAAAGTCGTATTATTTCTGTTGGTATTTTTTTCAATTTGATATTTCTGTTCCGTGTCAATACCCTAACATGTAAACACTAATATCTCACCTGTATTCACTATCATCATGAAACTTTTTCGCTTTCAAGGGTTTCCTATCGCCGTCCTCGTCGCCACCCAACGGGGTGTTTACCACGCTGACGGAAATGGGAGAATCCCTCGGACCTTTAATCTGAACAAAAGGACCCCGGGATCTGCTGGAACTCGCGTTGCTTCCTGAATCATAAGCGTACACGTCCTTCAAGGTATCCGATTTCGACGCAATTTTTGGAAGGACCACAGCCGGAGCGGGTACCTGCGGAGGTAGTTTTTTGGATTTCGTTAGCGTAGTGACAACACCAGCGGATTTCGAGTTTTTCTTTGATTTGGACGCCGAATGTTTCGTTTTCGTAAACCTAAACAATAAAAATAATTATTACAAGATTGTAATGCCCTGAATTATATATAAAATCAAGCGCACTTAACAAGAGTCTACATGTTTCAATCTAGGTCAGCTGGCGTTTTATTCAATTCAAACGCTCGAAAAACCTCAAATGGATTCGAATTCCCTCTCTAGTGGTTATGATGATCTCCGACCGAAATACCCCATAGCAATAGCCCAAGTTTAATATCATAAATTATTAACATAAACTTAAAAGATGTCAAAATTATCAAAAGATGAAGCCTTATATTTTCGTTAAATGCTAATTTGATAAATTGCAAAAGGTTAAATTATATTGAGACAACCAAATTTCATTTTCTTTGTGTCTTTTCATTACCGGGTTATTACGAGGATAATTAGCGCAATAGTCAATTAGTTTGCAAAGCTTCAGAAAACGAATAAATTTTAAAAAGATTTTCAGAAAATTTTGTAGGGTTTTAACATTTTTAGTTGTAATTTTCTGTTACTTTCTGGTTAGCCATTAATACATAAAAAGATAGATACACATACAGGGTGAATTGGCAAGGAGTGTGTCGATATATATAGAGATTGAATCGTGCATATTTGAACACCCACGTATATTTGAAAATATTTCCTAAATGTGGCCACATGAAAGAAATGGCTTGAACTGTAATAAAAATTATTAAATTATTATTAATGAAAAGCTAAGCCAAATTGGAAAAAAAATTAAATATAGTAGCAGCCTTTCTTTTTAGAACGTATGCTACACCCCGTGATGTTTTGTTGACCCAACCACGCGATAAATTATTCAAAACTAGAGAAAATCTCCAGTGTTGTTTTTTCAAAAGGGAAGAATAACGCGAAAACAATCGATTAAAAAATATAAAGGACACGAAATAAAATATGTTGTAAACAAATGATCAAGGAAAAAAGAGATGGGGAAGAGGCTTTTTGATAAGTAGTTTTTATATCTGTTAGGGAAATATATTCCTTGTTTGTCGTTATAACACTTATTTATGGTTTACAAAGGTAACGACTACGTCTTAGTTACAAAAAGTTTCGCCAACAATTGGTGGGTATAATACGACCAAAAATATAGTGCATTTATTGCTTTGACGTTTTACGTATTTTACAGTCCCTTAACCGCAGACCTTCGCAGGACCGTGGTAAAACCCATCCCAATAGATGTTGCCTGGAATTTTTTTATTTGAATCGTAAATGAACCGTTTTAAATTTGATTAAGCATTGATGCTGCGGAGTATTTTCGAATAAGTATAAGCGTTTATTTTAGCATCAGGTGATTTGTATAGTTAATCTTGATTATAATATGTTCGTATATATTACGGAGGTATTTGACTGTGATCGATCCAGTAAATACGTACGCGACGCTGTTTTCACGGGATAGTTCAAAGGTTAAGTACCTGTACTCTATTTATCTTACAGGTAAGTTTGAAAATCATCATTTTTGTCTTGAGTGCCTGTCGATTAACAACATTCTTCTTCTTGTATTTTTGTGTATTCTACATAGTTCTTCGATTTGTAAACAACAACAGTCTGTTTTAAGACTATAGATTATATTCGCGGTAGATAAATGTACGTCATAAGAATTCAGATAAATATTTATTAGAATCTTACAATTAAACATTTTTTGAAGGTTCCTGTTTTTAAACACCTTAAAATGTGGAGATCGTGGAATGAAGCAGATGTTCCCCTGTTAGAAGGGGCAGAATTTGAAGACGAAGTGACGATGGTAGTTGAACCTAATGACAAATTAGCAGAAGAACTACCTCAGCAAATAGAAACAAGTGACATGACCAAAGTTCCAAAGTCAAATGTATGAAAAATTGTTGGTGGTGGTACTTCGCGAGTTTTTAAAGAGCAACACGCGGATTTAATTAAACGTATAATCTACGACGCTTATAGAGTGAATAGTATTTTAACCCTAGAAGAACTGCATAAAAAAGTACTGAACAAAAAATGGATTGTTGGTTCCAAACTATTAATAAACATCAAGTGCTAATTAAATGAGTATTCCTAGGACGGTTAGGGGTAAGGGTCTGAAGTAATAAGCAGTAGGCAAAGTTAACGACTGGATCGGTTGTAAAAACTCTATATTTCTGGTGGAAGTATACTTAAGTTTTATATAATAGGTAGTGGACACGTATCAACAACCATTATAAAAAAAATTGGGTATGCACATTTCATTCATTCTTTTTTTCAAAAACTTACGCATTTAAGTTGTTTTATTATTCGAAACTTATTGTTACTAATAGTTTTGGACATTTTATGATAATCGCACATATTTTTTATCAACACCTTTTTTACCTTTTCTTTTTAGGCGTCCTCTCCAGCGACACATCGCTGCTGGTCCTCGCCTGCGTCCTATTTCGCTTCCCCTTCTTCGGCGACGCCTTTTTATCGTCTTTAACATCGATCGATGTATCCTGGCTGGTCGACGTTACCGACTCGTTTAATCTCAACAAATGATCGTCCGCGGCGTTCAATTTTTCGGTTACATTCAGGCTATCAGTTTTAAGTGGGTCGCCACTCAACGGATCACCTGACGCGCTTAACGGATCTTCCACAATCCCAGCAAACATCTCTTCCAGCTTGTTTTCCACCTGGGGATAAGACATTAAAAGATGATCAGATCAGGAGAGCGCGGGCTACGCTTGCCTCTACGAAATGAGTGTTGGTCGCTTTTTTTTGGGCCGGCGTCATCACTAGGGACGATGTCGACGTCGTTTCGGCTGCGACGCTAGCGACAACTACGGCCACGTTCGAATTACTCGTACTTTCCGCCAAATTCTTCTTGCTTTTAATGACGCTGACCGTGACGGGTTTGCCGCTAAGCGGTGCAGTGGGTTCAATCGAAAACGGCTCCGTTACAGGAACCTGTTTCTGAAATCATTAGTGGCTATTACAAATCTTCGATTGTTTCAGGTTACCGAAAATATTCAGCTTAGAAGCCATAATAGGAAGCTTTTTTTTTTATTTCAAACACACAGACAAACAATTAACTTCTTAATTAACTAGTCAAAGAATATTTTAAATAATATCTTGCAATTGTAGACTGTTATCATTTATTTAATAATTATAAATCATTATGCGTTTATGATGTCCAATTTACTTATAACCCTCTTCACGGCATACCGGAATACGATACTTAACGGCTTTGAGGAATCCCAATAAAAATATCCACTCCATTTGGTTGCCAGAATGACGCGAGGGCAACGAACGCACAATATAAATTTCACGGTATTTTTTAAATTATTTCGGTCAATTGACTGGTCAAGTGACAAAAAAAATTGACAAGTCAATTCCACAACCCTACTAACAAACAAAAATCATCTTAGCGAGGAAATTACAGCCTCCACCTCTATGCGATAATCTAATGTACCTGGTGGCGAATTAAAAAAGAAACTTCCACAAGCAACTGTAATGCTTTTTACAAAACTTCTGGATTCCTCCTGCGTCAGTTTATGCTTAGTCGAAATTGCTGACGTTTCAACAATCATCCTGTTGGCTTCTTCAGAGCTTGACAAGTTGACAGTTTCAGTCAAGCTCTGAAGAAGCCAACAGGATGATTGGCGAAACGTCAGCAATATCGACTAAGCAAAAACCGACGCAGGAGGAATCCAGAAATTTTGTAAAAAACAAGCAGGACATTAATTATTTTAAGTTTCTAGAATGAATTTTAAATCCAGTTTTTTGAGAAATCATTTTATATCAGACAGCTAAAATGTACACCAATATAAACTTGAGACAGATCCTATTCTTTTTCATAAATGTTTTTTACTCTATACTTTAAGGAAATGTGGTTCAACTTCAGAATGGGATTTGGAGTATTTTCTTTCATTTTTAGAACCAAGTTTATTGCGATCAAAGGGCTCATGGGATCAATGATGCTAAGTTTTGCCAATTTTCGCGAAGCAGGATACGCGAATAACTCGAGAGCCTAAAAGTTGTGGCTTAGTCAAAGTAATTCTTTGACAATACCGGAATTCACAATACTAATTTAGTTGAAACAATTTTACTTTAAAAAATCTCTTTTTTTATATTTAACTCTCGGTGGGACCTACTTAACCCGAACTTTATGCGGTCCAAACTTGCTGCTTTTGTAACCGGCACACAAAATATTGAGAAAGTATATTCAATACGCGCGCGCGCAAGTCATTTTAAACATCGCATCGAACCGATAAGAATTTGCAGCTTTCAACATGGCCGCGGCGAATTCGACAATTTTCAGTTTGTCCTGATCCCCTTAGAATTTCTGGGAAAATATGGATATCTGTGGTGAGCGCTGTTTAAAAAAATGGCACAAAATGCAGGTTAAGCGGTAACAATTAACCAAGCATCCATTATGCAAAGCAGCTGCAGCTTCCTTCCTTTCCACTTAAATCATGTAAAGTTTAAAAATTAAGTTCTTCAATTGATAGATAATGTCATATATATATTTTGACCAAGAAAAAAGCTCTCTTGAAATGTTACTAATTATGCAACAAATTTAATTATAATATTACACAGAGAAACCAGGCTAGCTTTAACAAAATTGGTATTTATAGCTATATATAGTATTTATAATTATGTAATACCTACATCAGTGCATACATTTTTTGCCAAAGAAAACTGCAACAAATTACTGAGAAAACATTTCCTGACAGATTGGCTGACCGCAGAACAATCTACGCCACATGGATCAGGAGATTAGAGAATGGAATAGAAATTTTTTTGTGCACTAGATAGCATAGAATGAAATAATTGTGTGAAACAAGAACTGTGAGAAATATACTTTGTTATTGAGAAAGATTCAGTAGTCTCATTGAAACTTGCGGCTGAAATTCATAATAATAATACCTCAACATCTTCAGGGTTAGGCTCCACTGTGGCAACAAGTTTTTGTTTTTCTTTTAATCCTTCTTGAACCATTGCCGCAATATTGTCGATGGTCTCGGATGTGTCTTTCTCTTTTTCTTTTATACTTTCCTGCACCATTGCTGCAATATTATCAATGGTCTCCGATTGACATTCATCACTTTTCTTTAATCCTTCCTGCACCTGATAAGCAAGGAATTAAGTAATAAATGTCGCACCTTGTCCAAGTGCAACATACCATGGCGGCAATGTTGTCGATTGTTTCAGACTCGGACGACGCTTTCCTTCGAGTTTTGGCAGGAATGATGGTATCGAGATCGTCTGATGAATGTCGTCGTTCAGGAATTTTTGTATCTTCCAGGATACTACTTATTGCCTTATCCTCGAGTTTGACCTCATTGGATGGGAGTTCCAACAACTGTACTTCCAACGCCTGCAATAGAATAGAAATTTATTTTTCGTCGCGATAAAAAATCATGCTGACATTGCCAACAAATGACATTTCTCCAAGAAACAGTCAACTTGGTTAATAGTTGTAAGAAAACAAAACCATCCGGAGGGGGTTAAGTGTTATTGAATAGTTTTTTTTGTTAAATGACAATTTTTAGTTCCCTAAACATGTCAACATTTCCACCTTCACTTTCATTTAACCGAGTACCACCCTTTTAAAATACCAAAAATATAAAAATAAAAAATAAATTATCCTGTATTCCATACAAAATCAGGAGCTTTCCGGAAACTTCTATTAATACAATTCTGCAAGTGCAATACTTACCTTATTTTTCTCACATTTCACCTCATCCTCTTTTGAAACCCGAACTGTTTTACTTGGTTTTCTCTTTCTTCTCGACTTTGTACTGTCCAAACTATCTTCGTTACTGTGCATGGAACCGGAGTCGTCTTCTTTAATGTTAGAAGATGTGGGCACATTTACAATGCTGCTTGAGTTACTATTCTCATCGAAACTGGTGGTAGGTGGCACAATAACACCATGACTTGGTACTTTTTCATGAGCAGAGTCGGTTTTTGTTTCACTTTTGTTCATCAGAGCTGATACCGTTTCTGATTTGGTTTCTAATACGGGTTTAATACTAACGGCAGCCACTTCCAACTTGGACATAGTGGATTCATTTTTTGCGTCTATTTTGGATACCGCTGAGAGGTCTGACTTTAAAGTAACGGAAGTAGCAGTTTCCGGCTTGCTTACACTCAAAATTTCCAATTTATTCGCCGCCAGCAGCTCCAATTTTGCGGCAGCTGACATTTCCTGCTTTAGTTCCTGAGTTGGCATTACCTTTAACACATACAAATACTGAATTTAATTATATAAATAAATATCAAAAGAGCAATTAAATCAGCTAGAAAGATACCTTTTCAGCAGTAGGATTCAACCTCTCCAAAATGGAATCAACCCTAATATTGCTCCTTTTCTGACTCTTTGTTGGATCGCTTGTTAATCCCATCAGACCTGAACCTAACAACCCCGAAGTACTTAATAACCCTGCATTGACCATCATTCCGGAAGTACTCAAAAGTCCAGTTCCTAAGCCAGGGCTTGCCGCTTTCGGGGCTGGGCTGTGGCTTTTATGGCTGGGACTTCCAGATTTTAGTCCAGGACTAGCTATCAGTCCGGGGCTTGAAGATTTAAGCCCGGGACTTATTGATTGCTTTAACCCGGGACTGACTGCCTTCAGACTGGGACTAGTGCATTTAGATAATTCAGTTGTTTGAATATCCAACACACTTGGAGGCAGACTATTGATTTTGTTTGTGTCTCTCACACTGAGTGATATAGGGGTGGTAGGGATTTCTCCATTCTGGTTACCTATAAATACTACTATAAAAACTACAGTGATTTTAATATTATTATACCATTTCGAGTCAAACTTAGATCAACACAATCCCTAGGAAACAGGGACTCGTTTTTTAACATTTCTGTAAGCATGTGGGTGTGAGGAATAATTTTCATCGCATCTGTTGTAGTTGGAGTATGCCATGTAGGTTGGTGTAAGAGGGAATGATCCGTAGACATATGCGCCACCTGTGGTTGTCTTGGATAATAGTTTGGAACCTGAACGTAACAAAATGCAACTTCAATTCAAAATAATGTGTAAATAAATAATATGTAAAATAACTATGTTGGCATTTAAAATAATAATAACAATAAAAAGAAATCTGGATGTATCCAAAAATTAAACGTGAAAAAAACTAGGAGGTACCAAACCGCCACATTAACAAAATTAAGTACCTTAAGTAGATACAGTGTGTCCAAGATGTAGATGCACGCAGAGACATAGTGATGCATTTTACTAAGTTATTTATTTATTTATGTATCTCACCCGCTAATAGTACAAATTCTAAACAATCAAAAACTCAAAAAGGAAAAACAATATTAACTATGACTATGAAAAACTGCGCTTCATATGAAATGAATAGGTACAGACTTAAATTATTGTAGCTGTTATACTCAACTGCAAATGTCTTTTTTTGTTATTATTTGCACCTTATATTAATTTTTTTTAGTTCCAAATATGTTTTAGAAAAAATTACAAATAAATTGCGTCAGCGTAATCTAAATGAATAAAAAAATATCTCGAAAGTAGCATATTATGTAACAAGTAGGACAAACGGCATTTCAGTCACGAGTTTTGTTTCGGTTTGACGGTCATATATGAGTGAATGTCATGTTTTTGATTTGCAAAAATGTACCCAAAAACCAATGGTCATAAAAGAAGTACAGTGTGGTACATGTTTGATAAACTTTTTAGTCATTCATTTATTAAGCGCTCCTTTAAACTCGGGCCAAAACAAAAACTATGACTCAAATGCCAATAACTAAATTTGTAAAAATCAAGATGTAGATATCTGCGAAAATATCCTATTGCTCCCAAACCCGTAGATAATTTTAAAATTTCGGAAAGGTCTGAAGTGACTAGAAACACAACATTTTCCGCAAGTTCCATTGATGGATCATTGGGTACTTGAGAGCAAAAATGGTATAAATCCATAATTGGTGTGATACCTCAGACACCAAAAATCTGAATTACAGTAATGCTGACAGCATCTTATGTATCATTCAAAACAAAATTAATCAGTTTAATTAAATTTAATTACTTGCTTTAATTAATAATTAAATGAAAATATATATTTAAATTGTGTTAAAGCTATGTCTTTGTATTAACGCCTACTTTTTCATAATTACATTGCTACTTTACTAAAGGTCAATTTTTATGGTTATATTTACAGTATCTTCAAAACCAGGCACCCACAAATGTTGTCTTCAAGTCAAGTATGGATAATTTTAATCTAATTCAATCAACTTTCTGGTTATCTTGAACAAAATAAAATGGAAAACGAAATAGAAATCGAATATATGTAAATATAGTTAAGAACTCAAATATAAATAATATCAATATCATAAACTAATATCTATATCTATAAACTAAACAAATATATTAACTACCTGGAGGTGATTCCATGCCGTGTTTGCATTAGGAACTTGTCTGTTATGTGGGTGATGAGGTGGGCCACTTCCAGACATGTTTGATTGAATTTTGACACAACACAATCTCTAACTTTTAAATACCATGGCAAAGTCAGTCAGGTTTCATCACTTAACAAGAAAAATCACATCTTCTAAAACCACTTTTAACAAAGGTAAGGTGGTATGGTCTTGAATGCTGTAAAATATTGTTGCAATTTAGAATTTTTTGCCACATTCATAAAAAGAATTCTTTAAGCCGTCTTAAATTGGAAGTACAGAAATAATATGCTAACAGTGCATAATTTACAATAAAAATTTAAAGTTAAATTAGCATAAAACTAAAGTTTATTTGAGTCAGAAGTAAATACACCATCGGTCTTTCCATTTGTCAAATAATGCAGACCCCTAGTGATTTGCATCAAAATAACACAATTTAAAAGGCAACAAAACTACTTCCAAACGGCGGAATCCAAAATAATAAATTTAAATTTCATTAAAAAAAAACTTTGAAGACTTAAACGCGGGATGAAAGCGTCCAAAGTCATTCAAGATGAAATTAAATACATGTGTACTGAAAATTAAAAATACACGAGTTGTAAGCCATTATAAACTGAAATCAATGTTTGAAAAGTACCATTGAAGTGAATCAAGGACAAACAACATTTGGACATACCACAAGATTGATAATAAAAGTATAACAGCTAAATCATGAAATCACACTTCAGAAAAAGTGTCTTAAATTTGCAACACTAAATATATTCACAAAATCTTTGAAGCACGGCCACAAAAGCTGCCGACACGCAACAATGGCGGACCGGGTTTTCGTCAGATTTTCATCTAATTCGTAACTCCTAGAGCCATCTATTGCACTCTGGACAAACCATCAATAAAAGTACGGAATGTTTACTTTCGCTTTGGCGCATACTTGATTCACAACTGATAAAAGATGACGCCCACTTGCTCCTTTCTGCTGTGATGAGAGGAAGAAAAACCAATTAGAAAGTGAATAAGCAGTGTCGTGCGGATGAAGTTCAACCGGAATTAATTTTTTGTTTGGGTTTGATGCTTTTTTAATATCGAATGTTTGCGTAATATTGGGGAAATAAACCGAATATATGCTGCAGATTATTGATGAACAATATCGGATATAGAAATAGTTTTCAATAAAATTTCTTCTTCTTTATTCTTGAGCACATTTGACAAGTAAGATTTCAGTCATTATTCTATGCAATCATTTTTCAAACCAAGTTTGTCTTCATTGATTGCATGTCGCATTTTAAATTAAATTCATTTGTGTTTAGATATGACTGCTCGAGGGATTTCGAGAGTTTTTGAAAAACTCGAAAACTCAATTAAAGAGGGTAGATATTATGAAGCCCATCAAATGTATAGAACCTTATATTTTAGGTGAGAAAGTGAAATAGGCACGTAATATAAAATTGCTAGAATTTTCTAAACATAACCTTTTAGATACTTGAGTCAGAAAAAATATAATGATTTAAAGGAAATGCTTTTTAAGGGCTCTATGTTATTTTTAGATGCCGATCAGGTATTAATTGCTTTATTTACATTTTGGCATAAAATTCCTCCTGAATGCTTTTCAGAAAACCTCAGGAGCTGACATAGGATTGTTATTAATAGAAGTTCTTGTAAAATCAGAAGAAAAAAACTGTGATGAATGGTGTCCCAAACTATCACTAATATTTTCTAAAATTGGCGCAAATTTTCCGGCAGAAAGAGAAACTTTATTGGCTCACTCTATTAAGTGGTCTGCTCAGGGATTTTCACATGGTAGTCCATTATTACATGAGGTTGGGACAATTGACTGTACTAAAAACATAATATTGATGTTATTCTTCATAGAATATAGCAAGAATATATTGGGATGAAAGAAACTATGCCCAAGCACGTCACCACTTTATTCACTCTAAAGATGGAAGAGGTTGCGGAAAACTTTTAATAGAGTTCCAAAGATCTAAGGGATATAAATGTGAAGTTGATTTATTTATAGCACAAGCAGTGTTACAACTTTTATGTTTAAGAAATAAGGTAACAGCTAGTCAGACATTTACCACCTATACAGAACAGCATCCCAGGATTAAAAGAAATGGACCACCCTATTTGTTGCCATTGTTAAACTTTATATGGTTTTTGTTACAGGCCATTGAAAGGTAATAGCTTCAAAGGACAATAAGTTTAATAAATTACAAGGATTTTTATTTTAGTCAAAAACTGCATACTTTTGCAGTTTTGTGTGAGCAGTATGAAAATTCTATAAAAAGAGACCCATGTTACATACAATACTTGGACAAAATCGGTCAGATATTTTTTGGTGTTAAGCCTCCTGAAGAAAAAAAAAGTGGAGGTTTGTTTGGCAATTTCCTGGAGAGTTTTTTGGGTGGATTAGATGAAGAAAGTGATGAAGATGTTGCACAAGCTTCAACATCAAGCCGTTTGATTGAAAATACTGAAATGGACTAATATTAGCAAATTCTGTGTGTTGTTTTGGTCAAGTGAAAAAAATGTAAATATTGGTTGGATTCTAGATTGGTCCTATAATTTATGGTGACTTTATGACTACTTAAGAGAAAAATTAATTGAAAATTTCCAAAAAAGTGATTCTTTGTTAAAAGTTGTTGGGATACCTGAGACAGTTTTTTTTTAAATATTATTTTAGCCTGATAATAAAAAAGAATTTCATAAAAAGAGTTTTGTTTTTAATTTATTTGAGAGATTAATTATTATTGTTATTATAAACAAGTTTGATGTTACTGTTTTGTATTTAATTGTAAAGTTATTTTAAAAAAGTTGCAGTGTATATTTTTATTATTGTTTTTTTTAACTTGTTTGAATTAATTTTAGAAATTCAAATTTAAATTTTTATATGGCCTTTTAGTGTGTGTGATCTCATCCATAGATCATTACATACACTGCGTTTTACAAATTTTTGATAAGATTACTGGGATCATTGAGGACTTAGGTCCTGTATTTTCGGACATTTACCTTCATTTATACTTTGATATCTTGACCAAATTTCGAATAGGGAGTTCCATTTTTACTCCCTTGATAACATGTTTCATCTCAAACTTGGTACTTTCGCGAAACCATTGAAATCGACTTTCGCGAAATGTCTTTCCATGTTCAAGTCGAAAGTCGAATGCTGGCCCACAGCCTTTGTGTTTTTATGCACAGAATACCGTAACTCTCCGTTGTTTCAGTAATACCAACCCAACGTGAGCTGTTGAGTTCAGTTTGATGTGTAAGTAGTTCATCGGGCAATTTATTAATATATTATTTATTATCAAAATTAGTTTATCACTCATTTAATAGGTGGCGCTATTAGTTCGGCAGAAATCTATTTAGCAGTAATTTTTCATTTATTCCGTGTTTACGATAGATGCCACATTAGCTACTGTCAGCGACTGTCGAAATTTTGAGCGGAAGGCGAATCTCAAGAAAATGCCTCCATTTTGTTTATTTTCTTGTACGAAAAGTGTAGTGTCGGCGCGGCGATAAAACGCGAAATAATATTCCCATGTTGTCGTTGTAAAGCCTAAACTTTATTACGAACTGTAAAATACAATCGGATATATGTTTCTTGTGCGTTTCCCTCGCACAGAGGGTATGAAATTCAGCAGACATTGGGCGCATCGCGAGTAAGCACTTTGTCAAATTGACTACGACTGTATCCGGCACTAAAAATAATTCGTGTAATAGTAATAATACGAGTTATCGTGTTGTCGCAGCTGACAAACAGGCTACTTTAAACTCGAAAAAAGTTAAAAGTTCGGTCCCGTTTAGTTACGTCGGCAAAGACAAAACTTCGCCCTTATCCGTACCACCCCCAATAATGAACCACGTGACAGGAAACTACCGCAGAAACGAAGATCAACCCCAAAGTAATCCAAATTTAAACGTGAACGAAGTGGAAGAAATGGAAACCCAGGAAGGTAAGAGGTTGCCATGAAAATTTGACGGGCCATTTGACATATGACAATTTTTTTGTACATATGAAAGTTAAATATCATCATGTAGGCAATGGATAGTATTTTTATTATTTGTGCAGTGACTATGGACTACATCACAGACACCACGGTGGGTGCTGAAATGGATCAAACTCAAAATGGTGAAGTTGTTATTGGCCCACAGGTGGATCCCAATATGACTGTACAGGATACTGATATGGAGGAAGATGAGGCCCGAAGTGAGGCAACTTTTACCTTCACAGTAACGAATTTCAGCAAAATGAAGGTAAGCGCAAAAAAATAATTATTTAAATGGTATTTCGTAAAACTTTAATGTTCATTGAGTCAATTCTCTACTTTAAATCTTGGTTCTTCTATTCTGATAAATGCATTTGCACATGTCATATTTATTTTGAAGGAAAGACAAAATGTTATTTAATTCCTTTCTAAAATTTCAGCAAATATTTATTTTTTAGTGAATGTTTCCAACAAATATTTAGTTAAGTTATTGTTTATTATTTCACCATAAATGCTCCCTCCTACTTATTGAATATTTAATTTGTTAACTTAATTTATTTTTGGTCTATGATTGTACTTTATTTTTTTTAGGAATCTGTTCTTTCAAATCCATGCTATGTTCGAAATTTACCATGGAAGATCATGGTTATGCCACGCAGCAACCACAATCAGGAACGGAACCAGCGCTCTCTGGGTTTCTTCTTGCAGTGTAATGGAGAGAGTGAATCAAGCTCTTGGTCTTGCTATGCAGTGGCCGAACTAAGATTGCTTTCAGTTAGGCCCGACGTTGAACATTTTTGTCGGAAAATTCAGCATTTGTTCTATTCAAAGGTGGGAGACCCCATTTAGATGTATTTTATTTCATTTTTTTATCAACTAGGCAAACCAATTTTGAATAATAAACAATACAACCCACTAATAAACCTATAAAAGACTAAATAGGTAATCTAATTCTCAATAACAAACCACCTGGAATTTTCAGCATGCTTTTTTATTTTTCATATTTTTTTATACTTCTTATACTTCTAATTAAACAAAATGTTTGTGGGATTGACATTTAAATTAGGAAAATATTTTACCTTATCTAGTAGATTTAATTTTCATCTAGTTCCTGATGAATTAAGGTACAGATTATATCTCTGATAGTTTTTTACCATTGGCAAAATTCTTCAAACTTATTAATGAAGTGCATCTGATTAATTTAATGAACACAATGAGGAAAGTTGACATTTTGATATAGATAAGAAATTATCTTGTTATATGTCATTATGTAATTAGACACATCCACCGTTTATTGTTTTGGTCTAAGTATGCGAAAAAAAATAGCTGCTTGAGGTAACTTCATTTGAAGTTGGATCACTTAGGGTGGAGTTAATAATTATAAGAATAAAATTATTTTGTTAAGTTGCAGTAATTGTTAATTATTTCATTCGAGGACATAAAGAATTTATGGTCAACCTTTCTAAAATAACTAATAACTTTTGCTGTTTGCTGTTTAAACTTTGTAAAAAGTGGACAAATCAAACAAATTATCGGATTTTGCTGCATAAGACATTTGTTTTTTTTTTTTCAAGAATTTTACTGGTACACATACATCACATTAAATTATATCATATTATGATGGTGTAGGGAATAAGAGGATATCCAGTAATTAAATGGAATTGTTAATAAATATTATTAGGTAATTGATATATTTTTTTATGTTTTCTTTAAGTGTGTTTTATGTTAAGCTAAGCTTTTAAAATGTCTAAGTGTTAAGCCATTAAGCCCAGTACTCTCTAAACACAATCCTTTCCTGTTTTTGTTAATGCAATGAAGGAGAATGATTGGGGCTTCTCCCATTTCATGACCTGGAATGACGTGCTGGATCCAGAGAAAGGGTTTATTAAAGATGATGCCATAACTTTAGAGGTCCATGTAGTTGCTGACGCCCCTCATGGTGTTTCATGGGACAGTAAGAAGCATACAGGTAATTGCAATTTTTGCAATTGATTGTACTTTGTGTGTTTTTTATAAACACAACGGGATAAAAAGTTAAAAAAATCATTTGATAAAATTCTTTTTGAAAAGCAGTCAATAAAATTAAAATAAAAGTTAACTATTTATTAAATGAAGAAGAAGAAATAGAATATTAGTAGGTAGTATCACGAAATTATGATCACACCTCAATCAATTGTCAAGATTTTTCAATTTCACTTTTTGTTTTTCTTTTTACAATTATTTCCGGAATTTTTCAGCTTTTTGAACGGTGTTATCTTATTGTCTTAATAGAAATGCGCAATTTCTCTCTAATATGGGGAGGACTCAAGCCAATAACTTTTGCACTTTCTCAATATTCATTTGCGATGATTCATTATTCTTCAATATTCTTAAAAATAAGACTTTTTTGTTGGAAAAAAATTGTATTTTGCATTTTGCATTTTTGAAAAATGAAAAAATAAAACCTTAAACTGTTCAAAAGTCAGGGAATCTAATTATTCATCCATTAATTTTTTTAGTTTTTCTTTATATTTGTGCATTTTAAATATTTCTCTACGGAAAAATGTTGCAGATACTTGGAATTTTTATTGAAAGGGTCAGAAAAAAACCTGGAAAATTCGCGGCATTTGCAAATACAGATAAATAGTTATAGTGGGAACTAGTAATAATTATGGTGTGTTGGTAGTGTAGTCAATATGAGATATCTACCGCGCTTATCTTTAACTGAATTCGTGTGATTTTTTTAATTTAGGTTATGTGGGCCTTAAAAATCAGGGTGCCACTTGCTATATGAACTCACTGCTGCAGACCTTGTATTTTACCAATCAGTTGCGCAAAGCCGTATATAAAATGCCAACAGAGTCGGACGATTCAACAAAGTCCGTCGCTCTCGCTCTGCAAAGGGTATTTCACGAATTGCAGTTTTGCGACAAACCAGTGGGAACGAAAAAGTTAACGAAGAGTTTCGGCTGGGAAACTCTCGACTCGTTTATGCAGCACGACGTGCAAGAATTTTTAAGAGTTAGTTTACATTGTCGACATCCAAGTCGATTTAATCACGTAACACATGTCGTATTTCAGGTGTTGTTAGATAAATTAGAAAGTAAGATGAAAGGCACCTGCGTAGAGGGCATGTTGCCGAAACTTTTTGAAGGAAAAATGTTGTCTTATATTAGGTGTAAAAATGTCGATTACTCAAGCACTCGCTCCGAAACATTTTATGATATTCAATTAAATATTAAAGGCAAAAAGAATAGTAAGTTGTTCCTTTACAGTTCTCCGATTTTTTAAAATTTGTTTCTGTTTAGTTTATGAATCGTTTAAAGATTATATTGCCAAAGAGACCCTCGACGGCGACAACAAGTATGACGCGGGCGAGCATGGCCTCCAGGAAGCCGAAAAGGGCGTTATATTTTCTTCCTTCCCGCCGGTACTCCATCTACATTTAATGAGGTTCCAGTATGATCCGGTTACAGATTCGTCGGTGAAATTTAACGACAGATTCGAGTTTTACGACCGGATACAGCTGGATGAGTTCTTGCAAGAGAAGGATCCGAATGACCCCGCCAATTATACTTTGCACGCGGTACTGGTGCATAGTGGCGATAATCACGGAGGACACTATGTCGTGTTTATTAACCCCAAAGGTTAGATCACTTCTATACTTTACGTTTTTGCGATTTGCATTAAGGATGTGTGGGCTAATGTTGAAAAAGAAAGATGTACAAAAGATAAAAATGGCAGAAGTTGCTCTCTGCAAAACTTAGCTAATTTTATTAATTTATTTTTGTTTTAATATTATTTTAATCTTAATTTTGGGGACAATCTGATTTGAATATTACATATTTCAATTCTTTCCTTACCACCACAGATCTCTTAATGCCCATGATTAATGATATTTATGTGGGATATCTGAATCCATTCAGTGATTGATGATTGTATTAATATATTTTTCTAGTGAATTCTGTAACTTAGTATTACCAATTAATATGCACAAAATCTTTCATTAAATGGTTTTGCCTTGTCTTAATTTTTTGCCTTTGCTTCTTCACATTTATATCTTCAAGTGAGAGTTCTTCAATGTAAAGTTCTCTGAATACTAGATTTGAATGGATAGGACAGATTCATTAGCTATTGTTCCTTCCCTTGTTAGCTTCGAGGAATTTGAAAAAACTATGTAAAATAGATGTAACCAACAATTGTCATTTACCAGGTGTCAAAACTTAACTGTTAATTAAAAGAAAAAAATGTTAAAAACAATCTGGCGTTTCAGGAGATAGCAAGTGGTGCAAGTTTGATGACGACGTGGTATCGCGATGTACCAAACAGGAAGCTATCGATCATAATTATGGAGGACACGACGAGGACATGAATATGACTGTAAAGCATTGCACTAATGCTTACATGTTGGTATACATTCGCGACTCTGAATTGCCCAACGTATTGCAGGAGGTTAGTTTTATTTATACCGTTGGCATGTTTTCGCGTTTTAGGGGGTATATATAATGCTCTTATTTCAGGTGACAGATGCCGACATTCCTAGTGAATTGGCTGAACGACTCGCTGAAGAAAAACGCATGGAGCAGGTTAGGCGAAAGGAAAGGAACGAGGCCCACCTGTACATGACGGTTCAGGTGAGCATAGTGTTATATTTGTAATTTGGAAGTTTCCTTTTTCTCAATGAAATCCAGAGAAACCTAATTTGCTCTATTCACAACAGATGGGACTGTCCTTGAAAACAACAAAGTTTTTGTTGAAACCTCCTTTATTTTTCTAGGTGGTATTGGAAGACCAGTTCGATGGTCACCAAGGCAATGATCTGTACGATCCAGAACATGCGCAGTTCCGTATATTTAAGATTCGTAAAATGGCAGCAGTATCTGATATGATGGAAATGCTGGCGGACGCCTTCAAATATCCCCCTGAGCAGATCAGACCCTGGCCCTTCTCACAGAGGTTGTAGTGTTGTTGATGTTTGTTGATGTTGTGTTTCCTTAGTTTAAGTTCCATAATACAACACTCGTTTTCACAAGCAATGACGATTGACCTGATTATTTGCCATAGGTCAAACCAAACAATAAGACCTGGTGTACTTGACCTTGAAGGTGACCTTCATAAGAGCGTGATCGATGCGGCCGAAAATATGAACCCCTGGACCATATTTTTGGAACTGTTACCACCGGATTCTGGGCACACAGCACTTCCCCCTTTCGATAAGGTATTTAGATTGCATGGTGAGGTTTGTGTAATTTTCGTTACCTGTTTATTATCAGGAAACCGATGTGATGCTGTTTTTCAAAATGTACGATCCCAAGCAGAAGAAAATCCATTATTTCGGTCATTCTTACGTACCCCTTACAAGCAAAATTAGCGACCTGGTACCATTGCTTAACGAACGAGCCGGATTCCCTCCTGATACTGAGCTGTTGCTGTATGAAGAAATTAGGCCGAACATGGTAGACAAAATAACTAATTTTAATGATCCTATCGAAAAGGTAAGAAGAATATTCGGAAAGTCTTAGGAAACTATTGAAATGAAACCAGCTACCTAATCCAGAAAAAAACAACTCATAAGTGGTTAGATCTAAAAGAATGTTGTGTTTGTCTATTTCTTAAGTTCTTTAGAAAAACAACGATATTTTCTCCCTGTAAAACCGCTGTACTACATAAAAAAGTTGTTGACCCTTTAACTCCATCTTTTTTGTCAATAATCAAAGCAACATTGTTTCACGTAAAACCATTCTTCATTCAAATAAAAACAAAAAAAGAAACTGAAAATTAAAAAAAATGTAATCGAAAATGATGAAAAACAATAAAATGAACTGCGCAGGTCCCGTAGTGAGGGAATGGAATTTTACTGTGAATGTTATCGTTAAAATGTATTCGTTTAAGTTTGCGTTTTAGTTCCGCAGCGCCAGCAGCAATTCGCTTATGATTCACCATTCGTATTTATTTATTTATATCGGTAAATAGTTTTTAGGCATTCTGATTACATTAGAAAAGTTTAAGAAGTTGACTCAGCGGCAAAATATTTAAAAAAATTCCATCAAAGTTTACAAAATAAAGGCAATCCCCGCGATTAGCTACCTACATTCCTTTCTCGCACCGCTGTTGTTGCTCTTCACAAGCGGCAGTGTTGATGCCTGTATTACAAAATGATTAGTGGTTTATCGTTTTTTTGGTACTTTCAGGTCAATACGATAGAAACCCTTAATTGCCCGGAAGGCACTCTTGTGTATAAAACTGGTTAATTTTAAAAAATGATTTATTAATTCTAACACATTGCATATTAACTGAAACAAAATTTCATTTATCTAAAGTTGTATTACCCAATTTACATCAGGTGGGTCTTGGAGGTTGTATTTGTTATTCAATTACGAGTTAGCGAAAATGTTGGACAAATATGAAAACAATATTTCAAAACTTTTTATTGTTTACTTTTCTTTGAAAGTTGACTATCAAAAATTTAAAAATTTGCAGAACAAACAAACTAAATTTACAAGTGTCCGTAGTACAATATTTACAATGGGAAATATGTCAACAAGTTTACGTTTTCAAAATATTTATCTTCACTACCTAACGTTTTTCTAACACGTCCTTAAAATTTTCACCTATTGGTAAAATTTCTCATATATTTCTTTAATTGTTTTATTCCAGACTTCAAATCAGTACAATTAAATATATATAGGTACCGAATTACTAAAAAAGAATACAATTTTAGTAGATATATCATTCAATAAATATTTATGCTAAAATTATTCGATATAACTTTCAATCCCTTTTTAAGCGTTTCTTCAGGGTTTTCCATATCATCTTTGGTTCACCATTAGTTATAATCTATGGTACACTGTTGTAGCTCTGGATACTTCTGAACATCGGCTAGTCATGTCCTTTTCTGGTTCTTGCAAAAGGAATTTTCAACATGCTTTTGTTTTTGATATTGTGGCTGTGGTCATCTTGATTTTGACTTAATACGATTTAAGTATCCATTTTATTTCGTTTCTGCAGATGGATTCACTAAAGATCAGGTGTGGTGGTGGGCAGGTGTGAAAAAGTGTTTTTATTGCTTTATGTTGGGGGTTCTTTGTCACTTATTCATGAGGAAAGCACTGCCACTTCTCCAATATGGTATAATGTGTCTTAGGCGCGGTTCACTACATTATTTAATTGGTTTTACGCCTACTAGTACAACTTGGTAACAAGTCAACTAAGAGTTAAGTGAGTTGTTTTAGGAATGTTTAATTTTTATTGTGTAAACAGTGGTGTTATTGACAATTATTTTTAAACGCCGAGTCTTACATAGTCACATATTTGACTGTGAAATATTCCACTTTATCATCGAAACTATTTGTAAACGCCTCATATCCGAACTGATGCGATGTTTCTGTTGGCAATAGTATTTAACATCCTAGGTATGGTGTGTATCAAAATATATTGTCTTGACTTTAGAAGGACTCTTCCCCAAAAAGTAATTAATTTATACCTATTGTTACTAGGTAAAGCCAACAATAAATAATTTAAACATAAGTAAACGACAAGAAAAGGGCGAGTTAGGTTGATGTCGACCATGTGTCGGCTGATATCGGTCGCAGTTTTGAATATCCTGTTTTTGAAGAAGCTTCTTACGAGTGTATCCATAAATTTTCAGTTTCGTCGGTTTCGCTTGTCATTAGATGCAAAGCGTTTTGTGAAAAATGTGTACGAAGAGGCTTCATTAAACAAGCAGCTTTAAAAGAAACTTACCTATTTCCAAATACGCCGATATCCTCGATAATATAGTATAATATATTATAAATATTATAAGAAGGAAAATATATCCCTTTTATCAAAACCATTCCAATTGTTGCTGCTCTGGATAAACTGAAAAAGAACTAGAGTTATTTGTTATGTATGTACTGGAAATTAAGCACCTTCAGAAAATTAAAAAACATAATTCCGAAAACATGTATAATTTACATAGATGAAACTTGATTTGATATACAGTCACATACTGTCAGACAAAAGCACATTTAACGTCACCAAAATTCACCTCGGATCAGAGGAGAGGCTGATTCCAATCTGCTTGTTGTTTGCTTGTTAATGACTCTAGCTTGGACTATCGTAAAGGTGCAAGTGGCAGAACTTTTTAAAAACTGGTTTCAAAATTATCTTTATTCCGAACAGTGTCACTGTAATAGATAACACAACAGTCTCCAACAAAAAGCATCAAATTCATCCAGTATAAAAACTGAATTTCAATAATATTTGTTATAAAATGATGTTTATTTTAAATCCAGTTACGAGAAAGGGCAACTTTTGGAAGTGTTAAATTCGTATGCTATTAAAAAACAATATGTATGTGATAATTTATGTGATCAGGTGGGGCATATTTCCTCCTTATCTTTGTATATTCAACCCCATAGAACATTTGTGGCACCAAGTAAAATCAAATATTTTAAGTTTTAATTAAAAATCTAATTAATAATACACTTGTTGAGAGTTGAAAGAATGCAGTATCAGCACATTCTAAAAATTGCCGGTTCGTAAATTTTGCATACAAAATAATAATATGGAACTCATTGTAATTAATCTTAATGAGTGAAACAGAATTAGATTTTCAATAAAAACGTACTTAATTAGGTAATTATGTGTAACTAATGTAAGTATACTATTTAATTTTATATATTTAAAACATCTTAGAAGTTGGTTTCTGATGTTCTGTCGTACAATACCGACTGGTCCAGTCACCAAAAGCCAAGATGATATGCTTTACACACACATGCTTTCGTTGATTAATGGATTTGGATAATACATATAGGGATAGTGGGGCAACTTATCCATGTAAACTTTTATTTTATCCAATAGGATGTCATTAGGGAAGACTAATATAGTAGCGTTTATGAGCTTCTAAGTTTATAAGCCAAGTTGAATAATTAATTTTTGTGTCTCGCGAAAGTGCCTTATTTATTTCGCACATAATCTCGTAGGTATTGGAAGAGCTGATGGACGGCGATATCATAATTTTCGAAAAAGATGAAGGGGAAGTGCAATCGGACCTGCCGACTTGTATGGATTACTACAAAGACTTATTTTACCGCGTCGAGGTCACGTTTGTCGATAAAACGATACCGAACGATCAAGGCTTTACGATGGAATTATCCCAACGAATGACCTACGATCAGTTCGCGCGGGCCGTCGCCCAGCGTGTCGGAACCGACCCGTACCTGTTGCAATTTTTCAAATGCCAAAGGTACTCACGGTCCTGGTCGTCGTCTTCAAAGCGATTACCGTCTCGTTTTCAGCTATAAAGATAGTCCGGGTAACGCGTTGCGGTGCACTTTCGAAGGCACTCTGAAAGACCTGCTGCTGTTCAGCAAGCCGAAACTGCCGAAAAAGATATTCTACCAGCAGCTCAGTATCCGCGTCAACGAGTTGGAGAATAAAAAGCAATATAAGTGTATTTACCTTGGCGCCAACATGAAAGAGGAAAAGGAATTGGTTTTGTATCCAAACAAGAACGGAACTGTGGCGGATCTCCTCGAGGAGGCCAAAAAGCAAATCGAGTTCAGCGAAGGCAGCACGGGCAAGTTAAGGTAACCGTCGAGAATTCGATGTTGTTGAGCGTGCCATTTAATTTTTTCTTCAACTAACATTTTTTTTTAAATAATAGGAGCGGTTACGTTTCAATTACCTTTTTTATGAAACCTAAGCGCGAAACGTTTTGGTTACTATTATAAAAGTCTTATTGCATTTGACTGGAGAATTTTATAAAGATAACATTTACCAAGTTTTAGTCTCATATAAACCTTTAACTCTCCATTTATTTGCAACCAAAATCTTGCCGTTACCTTTTTAAACCATAAATAAGTTTTATAATGGTAAAGAATACATTTTCGTTACCATTTTAAAACCTACGTGCGACGTATATAAACACCATCTTTGTTTACAATTTATTTTATTTCGTGTTATCTACCTTTCTATGCCCATTGGGGACAATATTAAGGTGTGTGTGTTCCGGCGGTAATCTTTTTTTCTGTAGACATTTAAGCCCAATGATTTGCTCTGCCCTCCTACCTTATTGACAGGTTGTTGTAGGTCGTGTGCGCTATCAGCGATTGAGATCATATCCCCACAATTATTTTAGGTTAACCGAAGTAAACTGTCATAAATTAAGTATGGGCCCGAAAGAGGACACGCCGCTCGAATCGTTCGCGACGGTCGCATCGAAAATATATAGGATCGAAGAGATACCTCAGGACGAATTGGTGATCGGCGAGGATGAGATGTTGGTGCCGTGCGCGCATTACCAAAAGGATGTGTTTGCAACGTTTGGCATTCCTTTTTTCATTAAAATTAAGGAAGGCGAACCGTTCAGTAAAGTGAAAGGTAGGTCCGCGCGCGGTACCTTTGGGTGGCCACTAAAACGAGATCGGTTTTAGAGCGTATTCAAAAGAAAATGGCTGTGCCCGATAAGGAATGGGAGAAATTTAAGTTTACAATAGTTTCATCCGTGAATCGTCCCCATCTTACACTCGAAAACGATTACATAGTTAGCTTAAGTAATTTTAGGCCGGTCCCTAACCAAGGAGGTAGGTTTATACTTTATTCTTTTTTTTTTATATTGGGAAGGTGGTTAGGAAAGCAAATTATAGTTTCCGACGTCACACTTTATGTATTTGGGGCGGGGCTCGCCGGTACCCTGCGGCTGAGGTAGCTGGGACATTGCCATTTCGCGCATTATGATCTTATAAGATAACACGCCTGAGATTGTTATGATAATTTCGCATGCCTTTGAATTTTACACCAACACATTTGGACAGTTCTCTTTCTACCTTGCCATCTCCATACACATAAATCGTTTTTTCTCTGTAGATTTAATAAGAGCGAGACATATTTTGAGAATATTAGGCACAACTAAACCGCCAAATATGCACTCAGAAGAATAACTTTCAGTTTGAGCGGGAAATTTTGCCTAACGTAAAAATAAAGATAAATCTCGTGCGATGAGTGCCGGTCGCCATTTGATTGATTTTAAGCATTGTTCAAGTCAGGAGCCGTTCAAAACTGTCTAGTTCAACAAAAATTGTTTAAAGAATTATGCAGTTTTGCGCTCAATTAACAAAAATGTAATTCTTTGCAATTTACAGTCAAGCTATTAATTACAACAAAAATTATTAATAAGGCTCGGCTTCTGTATAAATATTGTGGTCGTTGTTTAGTTATTCTGTGTCAGCGGACGAAGCGTTTTCTGATGATTCGCCCATGCGTCCCTTCTTAACATGTTGACTTCAAAGTATAGGCCGCCCTATTTGATAGACAATATACATGATGCTCTCATTTTTTCTAAGATTTCATTCGGGCCGAGTTTTTTTTTTTTAATTTAGAAATATTCTCAGACACCTTTGAATACTTAATAAGGTAATATTTTTTTGTAGTGTCAATACAGAATACTTTCTTTTTTTTATATGAAATTTTTCTAACAAAATTAAACCGTCAAAAATTATTTTTTAAATAAATTCACGCTATATTTGTTATACCAAGCTATAAAAAACAACCTCATATTAGGATAGAACACGATAACGCGTTTCTATCTGCCTTTTTTTCATGGACTTACCTTTTCATGTCCCTTTGGCAAGCTCTTTTCCAGTTTTGGGTACTTGACTCTAAAAAGTCGAAAATTTTAGAAAAAAATAGCTTGTTTGTATCTTTACTAGAGAAGTAGCTACACACTAAAGCACCGTCACGAAATCTCACATGCCTTGGTAGCTGTTGTTGAATTTGAAATATTGACATTTTTTTTGTTTTCAATTAGCAGGTAATCCGAAACCTTGGCTGGGTTTAGATCACGTGAATAAAGCGCCGAAGCGGTCTAGGTTCAATTACTTAGAAAAGGCCATCAAAATCTACAACTGAGAGACTGAGACGACACGACTAAGACGGTGTTGACACTCGTTGAGAATAACAAAAATCCCATCAAGGCTTTAAGCAGTGTTGCCAATTGAAAATAAATCATAATGGATTTTAAATTAAATTTGTTACTAATTTATTAATAAGGTGTGAGCAAAGTTGCTTTTCAGTCGATGTTCGGCGGATTCGGGAGTTCCTAAATAATTATCGTTTTGGCGCCTTGTTTCGAGTAGTTCAATTTTAATGTATTAACCCGAATATAACACAACCATGCTTTTTTTTACCTTGTTATTTATTATTGTAAAATGACTACTCAGATTGCTCATCGAGCGTCGGATCATTTAGGACCTTCGACGCCGCTAAACAATTTATTATTTTAACGAAATCAAATGTGGCAGACCTTACGCTGTATAACACCACCTGTAAATACTATAAAATATGACAGAAAAAAAAATGTCTCTAGGAATATATTCACTGAAATATTCACTTGTTAAATATATTAATTTTTGAGTAGCTGTTTTCGTTATTCCGCTTGTGAATTAAGGGATCGTCCAAGCGTTGGGCGTGATTACTAATACCGCGGTGACGTCATTGACGAGCGGAGATCCGGTTTGGAGTACGTTTAATGTTAAAAGAAAGGAACCGATTGGGTGAATACTGTAAAATAAGTTGTTGGCGTATTGTGTTTGTGATAGTTTTGCGTTGCGTAACCTCAATTCCTCCCGCAAGATTTTGAGTTTAAACTATCCTCCCCCCCGACCCAAATTCGATTTATATATTTTTTTGATATGGAAGATTATTTTTATTGTATTACTTCGAACTCGGTAGGTTATCCACTCTTACGCGTGTTTGTTCGCTGTACTAATCTAGGCGGGAACCAAGGTGACCCGTATCTCTGTTTTTTTGTTGAATTTTTGCGACACATAATTTAGTTTGCAGCTTTCCTTTTTGTTCTCTCAATTGTACAAAATTTTGTATTGAGATTTGTATTGTATTTATTGCTAACTCTGTATATTTCCTAAATGAAACGATCCAGCTTAGTGAAAATATCGCAATAAACCTGTAAAAACAAAACTTATACGTTTATTTTTGCGGTTAATTTATTTATTGGCTCATTTTCCTCTTAAAGGGTGTACCTATCGTTCCCGTCCTAAAGTCTTAATTTTTTTTTAGCGTAAAATAAAGATTAATGATCTTACTCACGCGCAACATGGTGCCGGCTTGCCTCCCCACTCTTCCGCACTATTCATCAAAAGAAGACAAATATATAGACTTTGGTGCGTATCAGCCAGGTAAAAAACTAGGATTGGGGTTTACGACTCGTCTCGAAATGTTTCGTTTAATCTGGACTATATAAAACCAAGTGTCTCTTATCTTTGTCAATGTCCTGTATAGTCCTGTAAGATTTGGGAATAACTTGCACCCATAGTAAGATAGAATTGTTTACAGAGACTGCCAATTTTCCAATTTTATATTATCGCTCTTATGTAATATGATTTGTTTAGAAATGCAGCTCTACTTTAGACAAGAATCATTTGATGTTGAAAATATTACTTCCACACAGTAATCGCCGAACAAAATACGAAAATAATTATGAAAAATTATTTGGTTCTACATGTTCCACAATTTTAATTGTTTTTAATTTTAAGATATTAGACAATTTTCACAGAACCCTAAAAAGCATTCATTAACCACACTGTGCTTTGGAAAATTATTTTCACTAGGGACGTCATTTGATTAATTATATTTTTATATTAATTTCAGTTTAAGTGAAGCATAATTTCTTTTTGGAAATCTCCAAATTAGTAATTTATGTTTTATTACACATTGGTGAATAAGATAAATAAACTTTGAAACATGTTTAAATGATTTTATTACAAGGACTACCAATGGCAAGATAAGACAGCGACAGACTTTAAACACAAATAACATTTATCCGTGTAATACACGATCACCTACTCGTTTTTAGACCTTTCTTCAATTTCACCAGCAAAGAGGTTCTGTAATCTGTAAGTAAATTAATATTCCAGGTAGTCCTAAAACAGTGGTTTCCAATCGGTGGAGCGCGCCCCCCTAGGGGCGCGAAACTGTTGCAAGACACGCAGCTGTTTTTGTTTTTTTTAATAATTATTTTTTTATGTATATTTTTACATATTCGTATATTATTTTGTAGTCCATTGAATAAATTAATAATAAAATAATAAATAATAGTTTAATATTTATGAAATTAGATTGTTAGAAAAATGAAGGGGGCTCAACAATTTTTTTTAAGGGGGGCGCAGGTGCAAAGAGGTTAGAAACCACTGCCCTAAAATATTCAAGCGGAGAAAAAAGCGTTAACACCGCACCGGTCAATTGAGACAAAAAAAAGACCGGTCAATTCCAAGATGCAAAATTAATAAGACACAGCGAATGACTTTAAAGACAAGTAACATTTATCCGAGTAATATACGATTACCTACTTGTTTTTAGACTTATTCAAAACAGCAAAGAGGTTCTGTAATCTGTAAGTAAATTAAAGTAGACATGTGGATAAAATCCAATCATCATACCTTTCCGTTTTTATAGCTATATGGGTGAGTATAATCTAAATACCTGACTTCAGTTACTCTTGGTCTCTGCTTAATCTGTAATTGAATATAGACTTTTCTTTCTATGAATTTGAAGATAATTAATTGAACGGTTTCATGATATGCTTAGGCAACCGAAAGGCTTTGTCTCCAACAAATTACGTGTGGCAATTTCTTGTTGAAATTTGGTAGCATCTCATCCCGGGGCAAAAAATCTTTTGAGTTTAATTTTTTTTTCCAAAAGTCGATTTATTGAAGCTTTTCTAGAAAGAGATTTATCTCTAGCAGAACACCATACACAGAGGCATTCGTGAACATTTTCTAAATATGTGCGCCAAGGGAATTCAACATCCCTCGTTATATTTGTTTCGTAGACTATAAAAAAGCTTTCGATAAAGTCAGATGGCATCATCTCTGGAAAATCTTATCATCCAGTTGTATCAGCACACTACAGGATCAGTTAGAATACTGGATTCAGCTTCAAAGGAATTTTCCCTTGAACAAGGAGTCAGGCAACTCAACTATTTAACATATACGGTGAATCCATCATGAGAAGTTCGCTAGAAACATGAGAAGAAGGCATTTCAATAAATGTCCAAAAAATAAATAATCCACGCTTTGCAAATGATACAGCACTACGCGCTAACAGTCAAGAAGAGTTCATCAATTTAGTAAATAGGGCAGAAAACGAAAGCAATCGGCTAGGTCTGGAACTCAATACACAAAAAACAAAAATCATGATAGTTGATAGGCAACATAACCATCCAAATATAAGTCATATAGACCGCTTTGAAGTAGTTAAATCATACGTACATCTGGGATCACTATTGACAAATACAGGCACATCGGAAGAAGAAGTGAAGCATGGCAAACAAGGTGCAACATGGCAAAGGTTGAGAGACTGACCAAGATCTGATGAGAACCACAGATTTCAAGAACTATCAAAAAGCGACTAGTCAACTGTCTGGTACTCCCAATATTGACATATGGCTGCGAAGCGTGGATTCTCAGACAGGCGGAACGTAAGAAGATCGATGCTACCAAACGGTAAAGAGGAAAAGTCCTGACAATATAGAAAGACTCATAATTCAAGGCAAGGTAGACCACAACTACCTGTAGCAAGCCAATGCACTATGTCATCGAGATGACAAAAGACATTCACGATGTTACTCTGGCCACTACAATCCCTAATGGGAGTCAGAACCGAAGAGAGAGAGGTTGGTGACAAAAATTAGCACCAAATTTTTACGAATGGCAGCTAATGTTGTTTTAACGATGGTACTAATGTAACTGTGAGACTCGGAAAGCAAAACTCATTGATCTACAGGTTTGACCTATGGCCATGCATCTGAAAAAAAGGCAAATGTTAATAATGCTCGTAAAGAAGAATTTTATAAGTAGATTTGACAGTTATTTCACGTTTTAGAAAATAGCCAAAATTTAATGTAGTTATTTATGCAGGAATTGTGTTAAGTAAACCTTCACCTGTAAAAAGAAATGCAGTTGCATACATTTTTTCTACTACCTCTAATAGGTATAGATACATACTTTATAAATTTTAGAAAAGTACCAACCTTCTTTCGCACTAGAGCCTAAAGTAATTAATACTTTTACGAATTGATCTAACAATTTTAAATAAATATACAAAAAGAATATATTTTTTTTTAATTTGTGGTCGATGAATATAAAAAGCGCTAGAAAAGTATTAAAGGTCATTTGTTCCGAATCAAAAACAAAACAAAAATGGGGACTGGTTCATCTGCTTCAGACAAGTCTGTAAAACGGAAATTCTATGAACGACATACATTCCTCAACAGTATTAAACATAAAAGAAAATCTTTGAATACTAGGGGAGAATAAGCCAAACGTACCATGGAAACCGATATTGAAAGTCAGAAGTCACCATTACCAATAATGGTATCTAACAGTAGGTCATCAACACCTTTTTCCTTTCGAAGACATAAAAAAAATATGCCAAAGGGAATCTAAGGAGTCTTAAAATATAAAAAGATTTGAAGAACGAGCTCATAAGAACACGAGATAGATTACTTTATGGAAAATATCAGTCTATCCGCAAAAACTACCCCCTGAAGCAATAATAAACATTTTGACTGTTGCAAATAATTTGCAAAAAAAAAGCTCGACATCATTGCAGGATAACCTTTTATTCTTATAAATTATAATAATAACATTACTTGTACACCAACGTACTTATAACGTCGTTCAGCCTACAGAAATATTTACACCAAATTCTTCTACAAAGTTATCTCAGCGACTTTGAGATTACTCGACATATAAAAAAAATGAGCCTTCTAATACAAGTATTATTTTATGGCGACACTAGAACACCTCATACAATGCATCTGCATTTCATGTCAATGTATATACAGTTCAACTTATGTCAATAGTTTGTAGTTTCTAGGTTCGCAACTTAATAAAACATGTTTACTAAAAAAAAATGTTTCCTTACCTTAATGTTAGTACCAACTTTTCTCTTGCTGTTATTGGATTTTGCAGAAAATTTGTACCAACTTTTGTTATATCCTCTGCTATTAGATTTAAGACAAAATTACATTGCGCGGGATTTAGTCTAAAGAAGTCTCTAATATTTTTATTATCCTCATTTAGGGGAGAATCAATTAGTGTATTATAAAATCCTTCTGATTTTCGATTTCGGAACATTTCATGTGCACACATGTTCTCCTTGAGTAATTGTTCCTTATCTTCTTCTTCTTCCAATAACATCAAATACATAAGATCGTCAATAATTTTAAAATTTATTTGCGACATTGCCGTAATTTTTCTGTTACAAGTTAATTTAAAGGTGGTTTATAGAGAACTCCGACTCACAAACTTGTATAATTGGTGCTTCTCAATACTTTGTATCTTCATGAAATTTCAGCAAATGTTGCAAATATGAGGACCTAATAGGATCTTAGAGAAACTGTGATGCCTATATGTTTTTCATTTAACAAACTGAAAACTAGACTTACACAAATATTTACATGTCAATTTACTAAATGTGGATTTTAAGTATTTTACAGTACCTTAACCGCAGACCTTCGCTGGATCGTGGTAAAATCCATCCCAAAATATGTTTATTCTGCATTGCCTGCTGCGGGGTATTTTTGAATAAGTAGAAGCGTTTATTTTAACATCAGGTTATATGTATCGTTCCTAAGAATTTAATCTAAATTGCAACATGTTCGTATATATTACGGAGGTATTTGACCGTGATTCTTCCAGTAAGTACGTATGTACCTGATTCTCCAGCTTTGACCCTGCGAGGCTGTTTTCACTGGATAGTTCAAAGGGTAAGGGTAAGTACCTTTACTCTATTTACCTTACAGGTAAGTTTGAAAATAATCATTTTTGTCTTGTGTGTTCTTTTTTAAGACTATAGGTTACACTCGCGGTAGATATAGTTAAGTCATAAGAATACAGATAAATATTTATTAGAATGTTACAATTAAATATTTTTTGAAGGTGCCTATTTTTTAACACTTTAAAATGTGGAGACCATGGAATGAAGCAGATGTTCCCCTGTTAAAGAAGACATGAAAAACAAAGCAGAATTTAAAGACGAAATGGAGACGGTAGTCGAACCCAATGAAAATTTTGAAGACGAACTACCTCGGCAAATAAAAAACGGATCCATTTGTCTTCGAATGCTAAACAAATTGTTTTGGATGTTTGAATTTTATAAGACATTCAGAAGGTGAAGTAGGAGCAGAAATAAAAACAAGTGACATTTAACTTAATAAATTGATACTTGATACCAATTTTTTTATCTACATGTTTCAAGAATTGGTCAGCGAAAAAGTTTGAAAACATACTTATATCCCGTTTGTTAGTGTAGGTAGTTAAATTCTTAGAACGGTCCTGGAATGGTTACGGGTAAGGTTTTGGAGTAATAAACAGTAGGCAAAGTTAATCACGGGATCGATTGTAAAACCACTATATTTCTGGTCCACGGTATAATATGATTTAGTGTACAAAAATTAGAGGAAGTCTAAGAAATATCCCTTGTCAACTACAAATCCTTGTAAAAATCAATATGGGAAAGTTTTTTCGTTTGTCATCACGCTTAGCGAAAACGAAATGGCCTTTCTATTGCTCAAAACACTACAGAATTTATTACCGCAAAAAAGTGGAGAATTAGCAAAATCAGTTCAGCTGCAACAGGAAGAATTTAAAAGATATATCTGCAGGAATTTTTTTAAATTACTAGGCAGCTATTCAAAATTTGGGATATTTTATCCATAGGAGAGGTGGGTAAGTGAATACTGCAGTACAAACACACACAATTTGACACTCATTCACTAGAAACAGGTCCTCCCAAAAACTATTGTACATGTGCTTGTTGGGTTTGGAACAACTTGAGCAGAAAAATATAATATGCATTACTTGTGAAGAAAAGATCTTGATTAGTCTCTTAATATTTTTAGAATCCTTGACAAAGGAGTAAATTATGTCCTTGAATTGTAAATATCACCTTGTGTAAATAACTATTTAGTACACCTTTTTGGGTTACATTGCAAGTCCCATTTTTCTTATAGACTGGTATATATGTCTATTTCCTAGTTGTGATGTAATAGTCACTTATCCAGATAATGTCATTCAATTTACATTGTATTTTTTAGTTTACCAAAAGATGAAATTGCAAGGAAATAATGGATTAAATTCTTTTTCGAAAATGGAGGTTGATAACTTTAGAAGAACATCCATATATGAGGATCACATCATTCGTTTAAGCTTTATGTAGGTATTGTCATCAGTTGTACATGGGATTACTTGTTTTCTGGTCATTCTAGTTGTCGATGGTACTTTAAAATTCATATTAGAGTGTCCAATGGTACCATTTTTATCAATTTTTTTTTCCTAGTTTTAAAAATTCTACATATAATTTGTAACTATGAAAATTTTGATTTTTCTATCTTGAACATAAAAAGAAATTTTTGTTGATAGTGGGGATAGCTAAATTATTGCGTGCATTGATCTAAAGTCCGGTAGAGACGGTGTAATTTCTATATGTATGTCTGCGTGTAGTTTTAGTAGATAACAATTTTTAATTGACAATTTTTTGATGACAGACACGATGCAATTTTAATCCCAATACTAGAAAAGACAGAAATGAGGACGTTCCTTTGAAGTGCTAAATAAAATATCTTGAGAACTGCACAGAAATTAATTTTCGGGAATTCAGTAATCCCCCATTCCCCACCCCTACCATTCCTTACTCCAGACTAGTGTATTTGCGTATTCTCCGTTCTAACTTTACAAATCTCTTTTATTCGGTACTATTCAAAAGAAATGAAAAGCTTTCTTATTCAGAACGCCTATATAACACCAATAAACACATGGAACTACTTAAGCATACCTCTACGTTCACTTTTGAATATGTTAGACACCTAAAAATTTAATTAATTATAACTTAGCCAACTACATGCATATTAGTTACTATTATTTCTGTTAGACAAAATATTACAATGTAGTTAGTGACATTAGAATTCAACTTTCTGATTCGACTGATAGTAAAGTAGGTCGTTAACATAAATAACTAATACATTGTAGGTGTAAATTAAACGCAAGCACGTTTTTATTTATATTCTTCCAAGCTCGAATTGAAAGCAAAAATTTTAATGGATATTTTTGCCACTTGGTGTGTATCAGGGAGGTCACATTTCTTCTTCAAACGTCCCAATTTCCGGTTATAAGACACACGTAGGAGTAGATAGTCTTAAATATCTACAAAATATTAAATAAGCTAGTGTGATGCATTCCGGTCATTTACTGACCTGTATTAAAGCGTCGACTTTTACGTATCCCAAAGGACCGATGTTGAGTTTAAGAGGTTTTTGAGCTCTAACCATTGTCATCTGCATAATTCTTGTGGTTTTTGCGTCATAGCTTGGCCAATCGCTTTTGTAAACGCATTCGGCAATATTTTCATGCTGAAATACCGAAACTTAAAAACGAAGAATTCATTAACAATGAAAGAAACCGAACCTTAGAAAGATCTTCATCAGACGTTGCTTGTGAAATGTGGCTCAAGTTAGATTTGGATTTGGATTCGGATTTGCGAATATTACAGTGGACCAGTTCGTACGTATTCCTGTGGAAATGCCGAGAAAGAAAGCACGGAAATATTCTAAGGGAACTCCCAAAAACCATATTCAATGTTGCTATACAGAAAATAACCCCTTTTCCGTGCGCATCACCTCAAATAATAATTGAAACCTTGAAACGGTCGGGAAGATATAAAACTACTCCAACAATGAAATATCCAAAAGTTCGTTATATTTTTTTAGCAATCTCAAAAAAATCCGACGTTGTCCCCGATATTGAATTAGACCATTAAAGGGCCATTTAGGCGAGCTTCAAAATGATGTATTGCTCAACTACCTCGAAACTGTCGGGAAGATATAAAAATACCCCCAATAATGAGATACCCCAAAAATTCGTTTTATTTATTTAAGAATCTCCAAAAAACCCGACGTTGTCCCAGATATTCAATTGGGCCATTGAAGCTTTCGGGAAGATATAAAATTACTCCCAATATTGAAATACCCAAATGTTCGATATATTTATTTCGCAGTGGCAAAAAAAGCTTGACGTTGTCCTACAGATTCAGGCAGACCATTAAAATCATTTAGCAGAGCTTCGAAGTGATATAACTCAACCGCCTCGAAATCATCCAGAAGGTATACTACGCCCAATTCGACATTATCAAAGTAGATATTTGGTTTTTGACTCTGAATTTACCCGCAAAGACTTTCTTAATTTCATTTCGTTTTATTTATTTCGGAATCTCAAAAAAATCTGACGTCCTAGATATCCAATTAGACCATTGAATAGCCACTTGATAGAACTTCAAAATGAAGTATTACTCAACCTCCTCGAAAGGCTCGGGAAGATATAAAACTACCCCAACTATGAAATATCCAAAAGTTCGATGTATTTATTTCGCAATATCAATTTATTTAGGAATCTCAAAAAAATTTGAAGTTGTCCCACATGTTGAATTATGATGTATTACTCAACCACCTTGAAAGCGTCGGAAAGATATAAAACTACCTCCAACTATGAGATGCCCTAGAATTCATTTTCAAATGGTTGTCATATTTAAAGTGTTGAGTTGCACGCCCTGTATATTTTATCATGTTTTAGTGCTATGGTTAATTTTAAGTTAATTTTCAAAGAGTGTATATGCCTCTCTCTTTTTCTTTTTGAATTATTTGAAAAAAAATTGTACAACCAGTATGATAATTATTGCTCCTAATCCGGAAACGATTCAAATTGTAGTTTCTTTATATGGAACACCCTAAACGGCATCAAATACAGAATTTAGTCCCCTGTCGAATATTAGCATTCCTTATACCGGAAATATTTTATAATGAAACATAATATGCAATTGTTATTAATCTCAAAAGCTCAAATGTCCGAGAAAACTTTTAATGAACGGGTAAATAAATATATAAATGAAAGGTACAAATGAAATTAAGAAAATCTTTGCGGGTAAATTTAGAGTCAAAAACCAAATATCTACTTTGATAATGGCGAATTGGGGGTAGTATATCTTCTGGACGATTTCGAGGCGGTTGAGTTGTATCATTTTGAAGCTCTCCTAAGTGACTCTTTAATGGTCTGGCTGAATTTGTGGGACAATGTCAAGCTTTTTTTGCCACTGCGAAATAAATATCGAACATTTGGGTATTTCAATATTGAGGGTAATTTTATATCTTCTCGAAAGCTTCAATGGGCCAATTGAATATCTGGGACAACGTTTTATATCTACCCGACCATCATTTTGGCGCTCTCCTAAGTGGCTCTTTAATGGTCTGGTTGAATCTCTGGGACAACGTCAGATTTTTTCGAGATAACGAAATAGCAATTAATTTAATTCATTTTTTGGGTGGATGTGAAGGGAAAAGGGCTCATTTTCTGTATAGCAACATTGGATATGGTTTTTGGTAGTTCTCTTACAATAATTACGTGCTTACGTTCCCGACATTTCCACAGGAATACGTTTTTTTAATTAAGGTAAATAACGAACTGGTCCATTCCAAATCTAACTTCAGCCACATGCTTGTGAACAGATGTTTAAAATTCGAAAAAAACTATATCTTAATAAGATAATATGTGACGCCGTTGTTTAAGGAATGAAAATGACTCAGTCCACCTTAGTTACTCCAATAGCTGGGTATACTAGTAGACTATACCTTTTGCCGTTTTTAGTTAGTATCACTTCAGCAATATTTAATGTTCGCAGTTTCGAAGATATTAGAATTTGAATTATTTTACGCTCGCACTTTAGCCATAAAGTGGTTCGAGACCAAACCTTACATCAGTATATTTCTGTCCGCGCAAATTGTGTGCACCCAGCTTAAAAATTGGTCAGTGGTAAAAATTTTGTTTGTTTTATCTATATTAGGGGCGCTTTTTTATAATTAAATGGTGAATTCAAATAAAATATGTGGTAGTTTTATTCTATGATACAATTGCATGTGTTAAATGACCTATTGAATTTCAGCTAAGCGAACAAAGAAAATTTTAGCGTTTTACCTGTGTGACGATCTCATGTCCATTCCAGTACAATAAAAACAGTTGAGTAGATAAAGTACAGAAATATGAACAAGACGCCATTATCTCTACACTTGATGTGCTCTGAAAATAAGCGAATTGGTTGTCTTAAAGGTTGAATTAAACAAATTGAATAATTGCAGATCACTCTATTTTTCGAAGATTTGGGCTTCTCAGCCTCTAGACATTCGTTTTTGGTAATTATTAGAAAACCTTGAAAATGTATATATATCAACGAGCTCCTGCTTCAGTCAAAAATAAATAATGAAATATATTGTGCAATTAATTACACATTAACGAAACGAATGGATAAAATATCACAGTATAGTAAACACTTTAAACAAAATGAATTACTACATTGTGTGGTGAGGATCAGATACTTGTGGATTTGGTGGTAATATAGGAAACTAACTTTAACTGTCTTGTAAAAAACAAAAATACTTTTTTACCTGTAACAATTGAAATACGACCACCGCAAGCTGAAAAGATGACACACTGAAGTCCAAAAATATGTACCACTGCATGGCATGGTTTATCTCGTTGACAAAACTGCGGTACAACAAATTATATTAATTATGTTCAAATGTATAAGTACGAAGCGTCTTTGAAATCCGAAGACATATTTTTCATTTTATGGGACTGGTCAATTGTTTTGCTTCTAGTGTTTGTTTGGTAAATATCTTTATAATCGGGTCTACATAACATTATGCTTTTTGTAACATGACACTGTTTGAGCATTGAAGTAACCGTAGGTTTAAACTCGCATCTAATATTTCCTAAGTGTTTCCTAACGTCTCCGACAAAAGGAATGAGACGAATTGTCGCCTAATTTAAAGACGAAAATGTGGTATACAATTTTCGGACATGCTGTTTCCTTTCTGAACGGTGTTAAAAAAAAGTTTGATACTCGTGTTACTGTTAATTCGTGGTAAACGACAATCTAGTGATATTTGGTACTCATAATAAGGGGTTTTAGTACTTTGCTTGGTGTAAATAAAAAATTTTCTGTTAGTCCATTACAGCAAGAAACAGGAAAAAATATTTTCTGTGTCATTTTAGTAGCATTGGTGAATAAAGTAAGAAAATATCGAAGTAATAGACTACGACGATCGAATAGGAATTGTAATAACCTTTTTTTAACTTGCGCAAAAAAGTTTTTATCGAATTTATCTTTCACATTTGAAATATATAGAAAGAAAATAGTAGGCAAGCAAGTTACTAATGTTGCAATCTAAAATTTCCTAAAATACGTGTCTCTATTAGACAAAATTCACCTTATTCGTTTTTGAGGTAACAAGTGAGTGGCTTAAAAAGCTTACCACGTCAGTTTCGTTTCCCACGAATCCGAGCCACTTCGGACATTTCCGGGATTTTACCGCACGGATTTGGAAGCAATCGGATGTTTTCGGAGATATTTCCCACGCTTTGAATTTTGACGTTTATCGTGTGTATTCGTATTTTTTTGCGAAAATGTACTCAAAAACTAATTGTCGTAGAAAAATTATAGTATGCAACACGTTCGGTACACTTTTTAAGTCACTCGTTTATTAAACGCTGCCCTCCCCTCGCGTGAAATAAACTCGTGAGTCATAATATACTAATTTTCTAAGAACCTAAATTTTTGGGTACATTTTTGTCAAACAACACGAATAAGTTTACTGACATAACGGTCAGAATTGACACGGTTTGAATTTTGACGTTTGTCAATTCTGACGGTCATGTCACACGACACTCAGTGAATGTATTGTATTGTTTTGCAAAAATGTACACAAAAACTGATGGTTGCAGCAAAAGTCCATCGCACTCGCTCCGCTTGTGCCGAAACAAAATTCCTGACTCATATACTGAGCTGTGGTTGGATAATCCCATAAAACCATAATATGTAGACCATTTTCAAAAAGCAGCCCTGCTGATGTATTTTACCGTATATTAAGTTGATGTTCTTTCGAAAGGGCTTTCGCAATTATCTCTTCCGATCGGGCTGTGCCAATTTCTCCCAAAGCTTTAGCGTAACGCGACAAATTGGAGTAAACATGTTGAATTATTTTAAACTGTCCTACGGAGAACGTCAGCAACGATATAAATAGGGCTCCGCCATGTACGATGTACGTATAGCCCAAACTAAAAATTTGCAAGTTTAGCAGTGTGTAGCTCCTGCTCGGTATCGGTAAAGTTTGTAAAAGCACATAACAAAATGAAGCATGCAGCAGTAGAAGAAAATCTTGTTGCTTGCATTACTAAGTCACCACCTGTATCCCGTAAACTATGAGCTAGAGCATCACGTAAAACTATCACTACAACGGGCATGCGAAAAGTCTGAAAATTCTTTATAAGCTCCACAAGGTAGAGCAAACTTATTATCCTACCCCAAGATTACGAACATCTAAGTTAAATGACAATAAAATTGATTGATGAATATGAACTCTGCGGAATGGAAGTAAACATAGGAAAAACCGACTATATAAGAAGCAAACACGGACGCTTACAAATATCTGCTAAACGAAATTGTTTGTTACACAAACATATCAAAAGAGAACAGAAGACGAGTATATACACAATAGTTTAGGGCACATTTGGATCAGAAATATGGGCAATTAAAGAAAGAAAACCCTAAGAGCAACGGAAATTGACTTCTGGATTCGATTTCTAGAAGAGAATAATGACCAACAAATGAGTTTAGGGAGATTATTACACCCGAAACAAACAACTGGGTATGGTATGGATATATACAGAGGATTCCTCTAGATAGAATTCTAAAATGAACACGTTTGGCAACCAGAAGAACCACGCAGACCACTAAAGAGTTGGAGAGAAGGGAAAGAGAGAGACATTAAAGAAAGAGAGGAAGACCTATGCAACGACCAAAAAATATCTATAAATTTTAAAAAGACTTACCAACCTGCTGCGAATTGTAGCACATACGCAGTTACGTAATATCGGTCGCGGTCGAAGGGAAACCAGTTTGGGAAAATTTCATGACGTTGCCAGACACCCGTATCATTGCTATAGCCCAAAGGTTGCACTATATCGTCAATAAACGGACACACAATAAACATGACGATCCCTGAAGGACGCAAAAACAGATTTGACTATTCTTAACAAATTTGTTTTTAAGTTTCTGATTCCATTGAATTTTTTTGATTTTTTTTTTGCACTTAGGTCAAATTTAGTCAGAAATAATTGTTAATATGTCGTTTCTTAATGCGAAGGAGTAATAAAATATAAATTCGCAATAACAGGGTGGACAACTTAAAAGTTGTAAAGTTCAGATAAAATGTAAAGATAACACAGGCCTACAAAATTAAACTTTTTGACAGATGTTTTTAATTTGAAAATTGATTTTACATAATTTTGAAAGGATGATTACAAAAGTTCTATGCATTTATTTGTATCACGTAAAGTTTTTTTGCAAATATTTAAGAAAAAAGGAGATATTTCTAAAATAATTTCTTTTTTTAATTAAGTATAAAAAGTGGAATCCTATTTTAAAAAAAAGTGAAGAAAAAACTTTACTCAAACTTTTTTGAGTGAAATTTTCGTCTTTCCAGAAAGCTGCGTTGTCTGGACATTGGGCTGTGTCTTTTTAAGAGTATATCTCGTTTTAACATCCAGCCAGTAGTCCGCCATCATCGTTATGCTCCATCTGCATTGGTATCGCCGTTCCATTTTCTTAATGTCCTGGTGAAACCTACCTGTTCTTCGCTAACTGCTCCAAGATTTTCAGGAAAATAGTTTATGTGTGAAAACAGGAAATGCACTTTCAAACTCAATCACAACCTAGACTATGAAAGTGTATTTTGACGGTATGACGTTTTCTAGTTCTTTTGGATTTGTGATTTCAATAAAGTTGTCGTCTATCTGATATAATGGCTGGTGGTACTAGAAGTGGAAGTTCTAGCAAATTGGAGGACAAGAACAAGAACATCTCGAACCAAATTAAACAAATTGTCCCAAATTAGTAACTCTTTAGACTGCGTTAACCACGTTCTTCTCCAAAATTCTAAGCATATTGTTAAGCTGCAAGAGAGGCTTGACAATTTGGAGCACAACGTACTGCGTTTTAATGATTTAGAAGCTAAAGCGAACGAGGATTTGCTTACTGATATAACTTGTTTTATAAGGGATACTCTGAAAATCTCGTGTTCTTTGTGTGAGATTCATTCCGTTTTTAGGCTTAAGGGGAAAGCTAACTTGAACTGAAGTTAAATAAGAACTAAAAGTTCAGATTTTCACAAAATTATATATTTTTACATGACAATTGTTTCGACAACACCGTGTCTTTATAAAATGTCAAGATAAAGACACGTGAAAATCTGAACTTTTAGTTCTTATTTATTTTGGGAAAGATAACTTCCATAAACCTCCTACAATGTTGGTTTCTTTTATAGCAAATATTAAAAAGAACGAGGTTTTTAGTGGTAGAAGAGCTAGGTATCTCCGTTGTTAATTTTGGAATAAATAGCGAGCTGCCCACACGGAAACCACGTGACAATTAGATTTTTTTTGTGGAATTTTGAAGCTTCTCCGATTTTTGCAGTTTGTGTTTTTAAAATTAAAATCGTTGTGAGGGCTACCAGGTTGGCGACCGCCGGCCTACGAAGATCCGTCTCCCCAAAGATATAAACTACTCAGAGCGACTAAAGTTAGATACGGACATAGACAGGTCTGGTTTGCCAAAGGAAAAATATGCATGCCCACGTATTCATTACTGGCTATTGTTTACAGTTGGTATAGACTTGGAAAAAAACTTATCGTTTTATTTTACTTTTTGTCTTTTTAAATCCTACTTTTCTCTGGAAATTTTAAAATGCTAATATTAGATCTAGCTCTCTTACTATACTGACTTATTTCTAATGTTGTAACAGTTAGTATAATAGGCACAGTTGTGTTATCGCTATTTGAAATTATATCTCATCCCGTTTTTGTTTTTGTTTTTTTTTTGTTTATTTGCGGTTTATATTGCGGATTTGTTAATACAAGAGTTGCTGTATATGGAATCTCGTCTCGTGTTTGCCGATTATTTTGCTTATGTGTTAATAAGATTTATGAGAACCTTCATTCAGTTATGCTGAACGATATTTGCTTGACCGGACAGACATGTTTGTTTACTCTTTTGTTTGGGCGTTTCCTGACTTGCTGGTGCTTTTTTTTGGTGCAAATTCCTCATTTTTGTTAGTTATTTAGTTGTTTAGGATACGCATGTCTAGCGATTCTTGCGCTTTTGCTCATTTCGATATAAGATGACGTCGTTTTGACTTTGATCATTTTTCTCAATTTATTGTGTATTCTGGAATTGACTCTGTGGGTCTTTCAGAAACTTGACTTTCAACTCTTGTACCTAATGATGGTCTAAACATTGGTGATTATAGCATTGTAAGGCGTGACCGTGAATCACGTGGTGAAGGGGTAGCTTTTTATTATTGCAGTCATTTTAAAGTTAACACAATTATGGTTGTCTATTAAGATCGAAGAGAAAACGTTGTGTCTAGGAACTGTTTATGGACCTCCAACATTTAAATTACTTGAATGTTTTGACTCTCTGGAACAGGTCCTTGCCGCACTTATTCCTCAATTTGATTTTTTGATGTTTGGCGGAGATTTCAATGTTGATCTGTTTAAAACTAATACTACTGCTTATTTTTAATTTTCAAATACTCTCACCAACTTCGGCATGCATCAACTGGGTTACTGGAAACTCTAGTTCGCTCACCTCTAATTTATTCATATGTGACAATATTGAAGTACATGATATCTAAGATCACTGTATTGTTTCTTGTAATCTGCAGAAAGACCGTCATCCAACCCTTTTTCGAACCTTTAGAGATTTTTCGGCATTCGATAATGAATTGTTTATGGACAGTCTTAGAGCAATTAATTGGGATCTTTTATACTCTCTTGATGATATAAACGTTCAGATTGACTTACGAATATTAATGCTCCATTAACAACAGTTAGAATTAAGAGACCCCCAGCCCCTTGGCTTACCGAAAAGCTTAAACTTTTAATAAAACTTAAAAATAGGTCACGTTTAAGATACAAACGTCTTAAGTCAGATATTGCTTTAAACGAGTATAGAGAATTACGAAATTTTGTGAACTCCCGTGTGAGAGTCGAGAAAAGGGCATATTTGGCAAGTACATTCAAGTGCACAGTAATCCTATTTTAATGTTTGAAAACAATTTTGGTTGACCTAATAGTTTTAATTATGCTTTTATTTCTTTTGGAACTGTTGTGGAATTGATGAAGGGTTTGTATTGGCAAATTATATTAATAAACCATTTGGTCCTAATTGATTTCGTTTTGCTAAAGTTTACCCTGAGGAAGTTAATAGAACTTTGATTAGTGTTAAAACTAACGCTCATGGCTCAGACAATATTGATATAAAAATGATGCTTTTTACTACTCCGTATTTAGTCGATCATATCATTTTCCTTGTTAATAAGGGTCTGCTGACCGAGGTTTTTCAGGACTCTTGGAAGCAAGCTGAAGTTATACCCGTTCCAAAGAATGAGTGTCCAAGTGGTATTAACGATTTTAGATCAATCAGTTTGTTGCCAACCATCTCAAAGATTGTTGAAAAAATTGCAGCTAAACATCTTCGTCAGCTCCTATGCGATAACAAAATCTTCCCAGGCACCCAATCTGGTTTTAGAGCTTTTCGCAGCACTACTTCTGCGTTGTTTCATGTTATTGATGATTCATTGAGAGCAGCGGATTCTAAATTAAACTCTTCGACACCTTGGATCATTTCCTTCTCCTAGCTAAACTGGAATTCTTCGGGATAAAAGGTACTGACTGCTCTTTCATTTTTTAAAAATACTCATTCAGATGCCTTTGCTTTGGGGAGGGGTGTTCCACAGGGGAGTATTCTGGGGCCTATTCTGTTTTCAGTTTATACAGCTGAGTTCTCTACTTTACTTAAATTTTCTAAATCTGATCAATACGCCGATGATATTGAGATATATTTATCTTTTGTTGCTAGTGAAGCTTTAAAATGCCGCTACGAAAATAAATTCAGATCTAAAAATAATTTCGGAGGTATCTGTGGCTCACAACCTCTTAGTGAATACTAAAAAAACGCAGATGTTATTATTTGGAAATAAAAGGGAAGATATTGTAAAAAACGCCTCTTTGAAGACTACGCTAAATGATGAGATTACCTCTCCTTCAGACGGGTGTAAAAATTTATTGGGTGTTTTCTAAGCATGTTGGCTCGGTGTTACAAAAATCCTTCTATAAGTTGAGGATATTGTATATTCATAAACATTTTCTCAGTAAAGAAGTCAAACTTAAACTCTGTGATATGTTAGTTTTATCCCATGTCGCTTATTGCAGTATCGTCTATTGGCCAGCTATACTTAATCGAGATAAAGGGAAACTCCAACGACTTCAGAATGCTTGAATTCGTTTTAGTTACAATCTCAGAAAGTATGACCATATTTCACAGTGTCTCTCTGATTCGGGTTGGTTCAAGTTCAGTTAGCCACTTTGGTTTTTTTGCTAAACTCCAATAAGACCCCGTCGTACTTGTTTGATAAAGTTTGCAGAGGAAATGATATTCATAATCGAGACACCCGTCATTGTTTAAGATATTGCGTTCCTAGAGACACTTTGGTAACTTTCCAGAGATATTTTAGTTACCACGCAGTTAAATTATTTAACGAAATACCTTGTGCTATAACGTCCCTCCCCACAATAGTCCTTCAAAAAAGCGTATCTAGCAAAAGCGTATAAGTTTATGATATGCGTCTATTTCTTGTATTTACGGGTGTGTATTTTGTTGACAATTATTGTGTTGGTGCTGTTGTTCTTGTGGTTACACTCTTGTATTATTACTTATATTGAAATATTTTCAATAAAGACAGTTTCTTATTATTATCTAAAAAATCTATTATTTACAATACCACTTGATTCACTCTTGCACACTATGATTGGCCTATTACAAATGATTCTCTATCTTACGAAACGAAAATTCAGGCCTTTTAAGTTTTCCACAATTTCTTCTTACCCGTGGGTGGAATAAAATCATCCTTTTGCATTTCAGATATTCTTTTGTCCAGGGTACGTATTTTTTTGTAACTTAAATAAGTGTTTTTCATATTTTATTATTACAGTTTCTTTTCTTCCTATATTTCTCTTTAGGGCCGCGTTTATCCTAGTGCAGAAGTCGGTCTATTGTTGACTGTCCAACTCCAGTAACATTCGAACACATTTCAACTATTTTTGAAACTTCGAATGTTAAGATTTGGCGGCGAAGAGCTTTGAACACATTGAGAATAAAAACATAAAAAAACAGGTCATCTACCTGTTCGTCTACTCTCTGGACTCTTGACAATCATCGTAGGTACAATACTGCGCCTATGGATACGGTTAAACGATTAAGTTTTACTGTTTAATAATGACTTATAACTCGGTCGCATTGAGAAACACAGCTTAACTGTGAAGAAATTCGAGTTTCATCTTTGTTTGCAATGTCTTTGGTTAGTTAATTTTGATGTACTTACCCACAGTGCCAATAACAACGTAAGTATAAGTGAACTTCGTCGTTCCTCGAACATTTCGCTTGTAGAGCTCTTTGATTTCGTCATCTCTACAGTTTAGAATTTGTTGTTCTTTGGCTAAAGCATGCAGGATCAATTTTTGAAATGTTGGCGATTTGAATATCTTCACCTAAAACCGAAGCAAAAAATAAAGTCGTTTGCACAAAGAACGGGCAAAATGCTAAATTGAACTATTCTCAACACATTTAAAGTAACGATCCATGGAAGCATCCATTCATTTCACTTTAAAAATGGCGTTACCTAGGCTGTACCCTGTACCTACACAATATCCTTTCGTAACCAACTTAAAAAAAAATCAGCATTAGCCCACTAACCAACACACACAAAACCACTGTCTTGGCAAAATGCAGGGTTCCACAGATAATTGTCATTAGACAGTTAGATGTATATTCGCAGATCACAAACTACCTACATTAATTATTACCATTAAGAATGCTTGACTATCATACCGAACAAATCCATAATGATAAATCTTGAAGACGCCTAAAACAGTTTTAGACATGCCCGATCCTGCACTGATGCCAAATCTGTTATAAGATAACTAGCCGAAAAAGCATTGGAGTGTAAACATTTTGTATTCTTTTGCTTTATTGACATTGAAAAAACCTTTCAGTAAGATCCGGTTGAAACATATTCTGAAAATCTTAGACACCAGCGGCCTAATTAGGCTAATTTAGGAGTTATGCACTAGGAACTTAGCAAGAATCAGAAGGGAATGATTCCAGTTAGCCTTGTTCAACCTATTGGGAGATGAAAATAATATAAAAAGACAAACACTATGGTTAAACAACCTCGGTGTCCAAATAATAAGCATCATTGGAGAAGTCAAACTATTAAGCGGTCGATTGTATCGGATGCCTGAGCGATACGGTGGCGTCAAACTAGTTTCTGGTAACAGAAAGAAAAGTCTGCATCTATGAGAGTCCAAACAAGAGCTGATAGCACATAAACAACAGTTAACAGTTATGATTGAAATCTGTCAAATGAAAACATTGACATTGTGGATAAGACAAAGATGGATAGCATTATTTATTTATTTATTTATTTAAAGCAGTTGTCTTAACAGGCATGAAGCCCAACTATGATATCACAAACCTTAACCTAAAGTCTAGCCTAACATAAGCATTAACACTAATAAAATATACAAGATAACTGGAAAAGACTGAAAATAATTATAGTTGACGGGGCAATAGCATTTTTACCTTTGGAAGAGGTTACCAAAAAAAATCCAAATCGGGTCGAGCATTGTACTTGAAGCACATTGAGAAACTAGGTGAAAATTTTAAAATATTTGTTCTTGGTGTGGACAGAAATAATAGGCCAGAGCAATCAAACAAGTTATTCAAAATTTTAAATAAAGTCATTAGATAATGGTAATTATAGCGATCATAAAGACACATAACCAAATATATTTAATAATATTGCGAAAATCATCATCAATCATCAGAACAAAGGATAATTTCGAGTCGAATATTATACCCTGTGTTACAACAAGTGTTAGAATGGGAGAGGATTTTATCAAAAAGATGAAATACAAACTTTACAGCTGCAGTTATGGTGGTAAAAGAGTTTACATTACACTTGGCTGTATTAAGTTGCAAGTTATTATTTAATAACCAATTGTTGATTTGCTCCAAACTACGCCGGAAAGTAAGACAATCCTCTGAACACCGAATTTTTTTTTTTAAAATTTACTTCGTCCGCATATATCAAAAGCTGACATCAAGGTCTTTACCAATGTCATTAATGAAAATGTTGAATAATAATGGTCCCAGTATTGAGCCTCGAGGAAGATCTGAGGAAGCAATGTATTCATCGGAAGTGTGACCATAGAGATAGACGTACTGAGTGCGGTTACACAAGTATGAAGAAAACAAATTAACAAGCGATTTTGTGACCTAGGCGATCAAACATGAAATATTTTGTTCTGTAGGAGAAATTCTAAAACTTTACAGAAATTACATGTAAAGGAAATAGCCTTATATTTTGCGATGTGCCATCTACAGTCTATTTTGTGTACGGGAATAATTTTAGACATTTTGCATATATCGGGAACGGCTTGGTTTCTCAGACACATATTAAAAAGTATTACAAGCGGTTTAGCCAGAACAAAACGACAGTCATTGCGAATTTAGGTTTAATAAATTTAAGAGCTTTTTCCACCTCATATTCGGAGAACATCTTTATGCTTATATTTTCCATTCTCTAAATTTCTTCTTCTTTCTTCTATAGTAGGCCTATGGCCTGTTCCTTCATCGGTTGCCTCTCAACCTGGATTGAGATCGTCTTTCCATCTTTTTCTCGGTCGTCCCACGTCTTCCGTCTGGTGATTTCTCTCTAACGATTTTTACTAGTCTGCCATCTTGCATACGGTTAATATAGTCATTCCATTGTCTTTTTCTTTTGAGCACCCAGTCGTTCACGTTGTCCGCTCCGCACGATTGCCTGATGTTTTCGTTTCTTTCTCTGTCTAGCAGTGTTTTTCCTGAGATGCGGCGGAGAATCTTCATTTCCGTAGTCTCCTGAAGTCGTCTAGTTTTTGCGGTATCTGATCTGGTTTCTGCCGTGTAGGCTATGATCGGTCTGATCGTTGTTCTGTAGACTCATACTTTTGTATGTTTTTTCGGATGTTTGTTTCGCCAAATTACATCGTTTAAGCAGCCTGCCACTTTATTGGCTTTTGCTACCTGTTCTCTAAATTTGTTTAAATTAATCCATATCTGTCGAAAACATAGTGCAGAAGGGTTGAGTGTATCTTGCCGAGTATGTAACTCAACGTCATTAAAATTCATATAACTGGATACACATCTGAGATTTCTCATTTTCGCTTTTAATAAACGACAAACATTTTTTGGGACCTTTAAGAATTAAGAATGAAGATATCAAGGATAAGTACAAGATTCAGAAAGTTAGCTCATGGGCCCAAAGGGAGAGGTAGAGTGGGCTGTAAAAGTATTAAGAATGAATGAAGACCGTTTCATGACGACACCCCTTCAGGAAACAGAAGTCGCGGTGAACCATTGAAGAGGTGAAAGGACGCTCTGGTTTAAACAAGTACCAGACCGATTAATAATAATAAGAATAAGGAGACTGGTTGAGTTCTTATTAAAAATTTTAAGGTGTTCTGCAATTCTTGCAAAAAAACTTACCTTAAGCAAAAACAGAGAATTGGTACTTTATTGTGAATTGTTTTGAACTGTGGTTTGTTTTGTTTTTATTATTTTGCTGGATTAGTTGGGCGGGAACTGAACTGCATTACGTTATGTTAGTTTATATAATAAGGTAAGAAGGAAGTATATATAATTATTATCTTATTTTTAAGAAAGCGCATACGGGTTCTTAGAAACCTAGGCGCAACCAAAAATTGAGTGTATGTAAAACTCCTTGGACTTTGAATCTATTTGTACTTGTTAACCTAGCATGTTAAATAAATAATAATAATAATAATAATAATAATAGTAATAATAATTTCCTCAATTATTTTTTGTAATAGATCATTCTGAGTTTCTTTGTGCCCTTAAATATTGAAGATGGTCATTTGGATTTGTATCTAATTCAGCCGAAAAATTAATATAAAATTATTATTATTATTAACCCAAATTTTGTACAATTATCAATGTGGGTTTCAGAATTTTCATGTCTTTCCATTTTCAAACTTAAATGCCCTAAACCGGTGACCCCTATTTCCGTCCAACCTTTATCGTCACCAAAAAGTAAACAAGGAAAAAATATAGAGCATTTTTTTTTTGTTAAAGCCACAAATCGATTCATTTCTTGAGTAAATGATATTACTAAATTTCCGTGTATTACTTTTTCCTCTACTTACACCAGCTGTTTCATAGTTTCATAGTTCTCTTGAATTACTGCAAGTTCTTAATTTTTTTGGGAGCTGTGCAGCACTTATGTAAATTCTTCTTCGCGTAACATTATTCATATAAGAAATTTTCATTTTTACTCAGCGAATAGTGTCAGTGAAGTACGCAATTCTTACCCTATATAAGCTGACATTGTATACAATCAAAATGCCAAAGCAATCAATTATATCGCCACCGTGGATCCTTCTAGCAGCTTCGATTAATATTGTGGAGTCGAAAATTAAGTAATATGCGATGCTTGCTAGAAAATACTTCCCGTAAATTGAAGCTTTTAAGCCTTCGAGGTTTGTCGGCCATATACCAACCGCGAGCATGCTTTTTCGCACGAACCTCATGTGCTGGGGTCTATATCCTTCTGAAATTTTAAAGAAATAATTTTTAATTTGCATAAATTGGCAGAAAGCAAAAAGTTGGCGTTATGCTTAACGATTTTGATGTTAATGCCACAAAACTACCCAAAACTATGATCATGTATGTACAGTACAACAAAACAAAACCTTATTAGCGAGTAAAGTATAAGGTTGTTCGGAAAGTCATTTCGTTTTTTCCCGTCAGAGGACTTAATTACGTTTTTTCGAAACCAACTTCACACTTAAGCCGCATAACCATTATATGTCTTGGGAGCTGATATTGCAAGGTTTGTGTGTGAAAAAGTTCTATTAATTCTACGCAGTAGTTTTTGGTTGGTGCCCTTTTAAATATGGAGAATAATAAGCAGCATTTTCGTCATATTTTACTTTTTTACTTCAGAAAAGGTAAAAATGCTGTCCAAGCGAGAAAAAAATTGACGGATGTGTATGGAGAAGGCGTGTTAACAGTACGCCAGTGCCAGAACTGGTTTGCAATATTTCGATCCGGAAATTTTGATGTCGAAGATGCACCACGGTCTGGAAGGCCGGTCGAAGCTGACAAAGATGCGATAAAGGCATTAGTTGATGCAAATCGGCGAATAACCACACGAGAGATCGGTGAGAGATTAAATTTGTCGAATTCGACTGTTTATTGCCATTTGAAAGGCATGTGCTTAACCTGGAAGCTCGATGTGTGGGTGCCCAATGTCCTTACGGAGCGAAATTTGTGTCGTCGCGTTGACGTGTGTGATTCGCTCCTCAACCGTCAAGAAAATGATCCATTTTTGAAGCGGATTATTACTGGGGACGAAAAATGGGTTGTATACGACAATGTTAAACGCAACAGGTCATGGAGCAGAAAAGATGAACCGGCTCAAAGCGTGTCAAAAGCCAACATTCACCAAAAAAAGTGATGCTCTCCGTTTGGTGGGATGTCAAAGGAATCGTTTTTTTTTTAGCTTTTGCCGGACAATACAACGATTAATTCAGAAGTCTATTGTCATCAACTGGACAAATTGAATGATTCACTTAAAGAGAAGAGGCCCGAATTAATCAACAGGAAGGGTGTAGTGTTCCACCAGGATAATGCGAGACCTCACACAAGTTTGGTCACTCGCCAAAAACTTTTACGGCTTGAATGGGACGTACTGCAACATCCACCATATTCTCCAGATCTGGCGCTTTCCGACTACTATTTGTTCCGGTCCCTGCAAAATTTTTTGGATGGCAAAACCTTTACCTCAAATGAAGATGTCAAAAACCACCTGAACCAGTTTTTTGCCAGCAAGGACCAAAACTTTTATGAGAGGGGAATTATGTTACTGCCAGAAAGATGGCAAAAGGTGTTGGACCAGAATGGCCAATATATAATTTAATAAAATATTTATTCATTATACGAAAACTGTCTTTCATGTTCCCAAAAAAAAAAATGAAATGACTTTCCGAACAACCCAATAATATACGAATAAAAGGACGGAAAATGACGTTTGTGACATTTTTTAATGCACTTTTTTTTATTGTATGAAGCCCTACTGTTTCAGCCACCATGTCCGTGTTATACATATAAATGTTTAAAGCTTACCAAAAATCTCGTTTTGAGGTATTATACTGTCGCACATTTCGTCAACGCTGTGCGAACGAATATTGCAAGTGTAAGTTTAATTTTAATTATTAATAAATAGCTATGCACGGCATTTTAAAAATTTCATAGAACGAAAAATTCGAACGATGAGTCAAAAAGTTAATATCCTCCATTACAACAATTTACCCAGTCCCTTTAACAAGCTCTTCAGTTTTAAGTGCTCAATAATTACAGGAAATCTATTGAATTTAACAAAATGTTAGTTATTTAATACACGTGTAAGCTGCAACTATTATTCCGTATTTCTACTGGACCACTAAGTGCCATTATTTCAATTTAGCCCAAGTTTTGTGAACACGTTATTTTACAGGTGAAAATGAATGCCTAGAAACGATTTCCTGAGTCCCATTCCAACAATAATCGTCATCGTCATAAACCAAAATTGCATGAGACTACTATTTGACTTTTGTGATTTTTTATGGCCAGCCACATTGTATTTTACACTATTCTGATTGTTATGGACAGTGTTGTCAAGTATTTAAATATATGTGCCTAAAAATGTATTTGAAATACATGGACTGTAAATGTAATTACTGCAAATCTGTAGACTTACACTAGACCGGGACAAGTCAAACAGAAATCCGCATGCATTGGAGCAAAAATAACTCCATTCCTGAAAGGGTTGTAAATAAATATTTAGGAACAATAGTAAACCGTTTTTTTTTTGTTACTTGTACTTTCATTGTAGTTGCAATTAAATAAAATTTCAAAAATTTAGTTGAAACAAATTTAATTACTTTGCCTCAAATTTATTTGCATTAAATACTTTTAAATGTCAAACTCTTGACTGGAACCTTCGTCACTGCACTAACACACAATAACGCGTTTTACCACAAACCGAAACTCAATTTTACATACTCGACGCGCGTTTCGCCAACCAAGTTGGCATCTTCAGGAGAAGATTAAAACTAAATTTAATAGCACAAATGCTCTCTATATATATACACATCGGGAAGTGGGACAGGGAATTACGAACTGTTCACGCAACCAATCAGCCCGTATAATGGGCTAAAAGGGATTGGACCTCTATCCTTGTTTAGTGCCGTATCCCCTTAACAATTTCTAAGCTTTCGTAGGCATCTAATTTTCTACTATTATTTACATGTTTAACTAATTTTAAATTACTTATATCTACCTTATGATTATTGTTGAACATATGTTCGGCTACACTTGATTTTTCCAATCTACCAAATTTTAAATTAGCTAAATGTTCCTTAAATCTAACATCTTTTGGTTTGCCCTACATATGACTTGTCACAATCGTTACAATATATTTCATAAATTCCCGACTTTTCAAGGGATTACCCAAGAGTTTTTTAATTTTGATCCGGACTGATAGACACTTCGAAGACCTGCGGCCCTGAAGACTCTATCAAGTCCACTTGTATATTGGGGAAAAAAGGAATTGAGACTACTTTTAAATTTTCCTTATCAGCTTGAAAAGTCGTTGATTTTTGAAGTTTGTTTTTAAATCTAAATTTCCTAATTAACTTATCGATAAAACTTCTTTATAGCCATTGATTCTAGCCACCTTTTATATAAGGCTTCTTTCCACCTCAAACCTTTCTTGATTTAAAGGAAATGTGACAAGTCTATGGACTAGAAAATTAAAACTTGCCATTTTATGTTGAAAAGCATGGTTAGAATCATTGGTTATGTATCTTAAAGTCTAGTGTCTTTCCTATAAATGTCAAAAACTATATGATTTTCACTGTTTTTGATAACGAGAACGTCCAAAAAAGGCAACTTTCTATTTCATATGTGAATTTAATAGATATGAAGTAATTATTCAAGTTTGAAATAAAGTCATTTAAATCCATGCAAGTTGTATCAAAAACCGCGAAAACATCGTCGATGTAATCTATACCATATCCTAGGAAAGTACTCGAAATTTTCTTTAGCATTATGTTCAAAATGATGCAAGAAAAGTTCAGCCAGGAAAGGAGATAAACAATTTCCCATGGTCGTGCCATTTTGTTCATAATAGTTGTTATTATATAGAAAAATATGTTGACTCATGCAAAGCTTTGTCAGAGTGATTAGTGATTCAATTATATCTTTACTGTAGTTATTATATTCGAGTAATTTCCTGAGGTATTTCAAAGTTTCTAGTATAGGAACACTTGGAAATAATGAGGAAACATCAAAAGATACTAAAAGTTCATGATCATTTAGCCTTACGTCTTTGATTTTACCAATAAAACTTTCTTTTTGATATTTTTAATTTCCCAACCAGTTCTGCAACCAACCATTTTGAAATATTATATGTTGGAGAACCTATAGCTGAGAGAATAGGTCTCATTGTTTTTCCAGGTTTATGAATTTTAGGTAAACGATATAATTTGGACAAAGTAGGATTATATGTCTGCAATTTGTATTTCAGATTTTGGGTAATATGGTTTTTACAACTATTTAATGTGCTTTTGACCTGCTGTACCATCCTCGATAATGGATTTCTGTTTAATTTCTTATAAGCACCCTCTTCAAGGAGTTTATCAACTCGTTGAAAATAGCCTTCTTTGTCTAAAATAACAACTGTATTACCCTCATCTGCTTTTAAATAAAAACAATTCTTCTCTTTTAATCCCCTAACAATGTTTTTGGACCAATGAATTTGTTTGGTTTTCTTATTACCTCTATTTTGATTGCTAATGTTTTTTGAAATTTGATTCCTAACCGCCTCTCGGACAAATTCTTTTGAGGAAACGGGTAAATATTGAATGCTAGACTCAACACTTACCACCACCTCTTCCAGACTACCCCTCGAAGTGGGCGGGACAAAATTCAAACCTTTGTTGAGTAAATTCAATACATCATTGTTAAAGGATTGAGAAGAACAGTTTTCAACAATGGTAATGGTTTCCGGAGATTTTTTTTTTGGATTTTTTAACACCATGGTTTTTGAGTTTTGTGTTCAATGACGAAAACTTCTTAACATATTTGTTTTCAATGACCACAAACATTTTTCTCTGGAAGTGACACAATTGTTCGAATTCTAAATTACTTAACATATGTGTTAACTTTTTGTAGAGTCCATATGCTTCCAATTCGAGCATACTTCGTTTACTGTACAGGTATTTGATTTCCAAATCCAACCATTTTTCTTTTGAAAGTTTTTCAACTCTTTTGGCAACAAGAAATGAATTTGTTACGGAAATGTTTACAAAATTTGGGAAAACTGAATGTTTTTTACAGGATTTTAGAACCCAAATATCTGCTCGTATTAACCTAATCTTAGTGCTACCCT